TTGTTATTGTTTTGTATAGCCTCGTCCAAACTCTTGCCAAATTAGTTATGTAGAATTCCCCTAAGAGAATGTGCTTTTGGCTGTAAAATAACTGAATTTATTTGATATGTTTCAAACAATTATTTGATATCTTTTGTAGGAAATTATGGAAATTGTAACTTATGTAAAACTAGGTCAAGTTTTGACGTCTTTTGTACGAGACTTACTGTGCGTAGCGCGGGCCATATAAAAGTTAAAGTGTGTTACTAGGCTGGCCAGTCGTCGTCTAACAAGCCACTGCTTATATACAGGTTAGTGCCTCCGTTATTTATAAATCTAAACTCAGACTCTCTCAAGTGTTGTGAAATTCTCATGATTGTCAAAGATGCATATTTAAGAAACCTCAAGTATAGATCCACACGTAATTGCTTATTTTATAATTGGACGGATTTTATTAGTTCTTCTGAATTATTTATGTCAGGAAATGCTTTTAGTACTCAGTTTACTCCGGCTCCGGCTCGGTTACGTAATCGACTCCGGTAACACTATCTATTTTAAATTGCTGTATATAATTATTGGCGCATTGCCTTGGAGTTGAATAATAATTGACAAGATGTTTTAGAAGGTCTAGTGTGCATTTATTTAAACAAGATCCGGCTTTATACATTTATAATTGATGACTCAATTTACTCCGGTGATTAATCCTGATGACTCAATTTACTCCAGTGATTATTCTTGATTGTTGAGTTTGACTCCGGTACGGAAATCTAATTTAGATTGCTTTGTCGTATAGGGCATCATTGTTTATTCCAAACAGAGAGTTCTAGGAAATATGTAAATTATATTTATTAGTTGTTAAAAGGCAGTCGTCGTCTAACAAGCCACTGTTTATATACAGGTCCTAGGCTAGGCATAGTGCCGGCCGACGGCGACTCAGTTTACTCCGGCCACATCGGCGGAGTACCCAATCCGAGTAGGCTATATGGATTAGGGAAATCTTGGGCCGACTCCGGGTTAGTTTATCGGAGCTGACTCCTGGGAAGTTTCAGCGACTTATCTAGTAGATGACCAGTTAATTCAGCGGAGCTAGCAGATAGCAGAGCTGACGGTTTATTAAGCAGCCAGGGGCTGACGAGATTAATAAGCTGAGGAGTCCATCCAGCAGCGCGGAGGGCTAATACCAGCGACTTATCCAGTAGATGACCAGTTAATTCAGCGGAGTTAGCAGATAGCAGAGCTGACGAGTTATTAAGCAGCCAGGGGCTGACGAGATTAATAAGCTGAGGAGTCCATCCAGCAGCGCGGAGGGCTAATACCAGCACAGGGTTGAAGCAGTAATGCAACTGACGAAACCTTGGGTCTGCAGTATAATTAAGGGGTTTTTAATCTATCAATTCATAGAGAATGATAATTCGAGGCTTCTTTAAAATATTAAGCACTGCGTAATTGCTAAGCAAGCACATTAGGGTTGATATATATTGTACATGCTTTTGAAGGAGTGTTGGTGTTTTATTAAAGAGTTTAGAAGTTAAATTGTCTTCCTCCGTTCCTCTTTTTCTGTGTAAAAACACCCCTCCCCAGTAAGAGCAATTATTACTGCCCGGTTGTACATTTCAACCAAACGAACCTAGCGGTTCAACTAAAATTATTTGTAGTGCGTCCAGCTACAGGTGAACAGCTTAACCCATAGTCACCCAGAAGCGGCCGGCACGCGACAGGTGGTTGTAAACATTGAGCGCTATTTTGTACATGTTGTATTCAACAAACATCGATCCACATTGTTTTAAGAAGTAGGACACATTGGAGACTCCGTAGAATGACGTTTTCCGTTCGTGCGCGAATTATGGGCACGAAACTTTTGTGGCAGCCAATATGACTCGTCTGCAGACGACGACGTTCAAGGTGTTTCCTTGACGTTCGATATTGTTCAAATTATTTGTCCATGTAGTTTATTAGTCATTCTTACAAGATTAAAGTCTATAACTGTGTAGGATTTAGTTTATGCAAGAAAAAAATCGGTCAAAGTACTAAGTGCGCGAAAAATGGTCACACGAGGATATATAAAGGCCACAAGGGCACACTTTATACCATGGTCCATGGTTGGCAACATACCCAAAAGCCTTTCCTGACGTTTTTGGGTGGTATTTTCAACAATCCAACGATGAGCTTGGAAATACCATTCTTTATTGCATTTAACGTTGACCTTCCATAGTTTGCCATCCCGTGCCGTGGTTGGCAAAAAAGTGTTGACAACGAGTTGGCAAGGAAATGACATTGACTGAGTAGGACATTAACTTAACTTAAGTCAAGTTACTTTAACCAGTCTGCAACTGACTTCAACTTACCCGGAAGGGAACACTGAATCCTTGAAACAGAAATATCCGTGTTGTGATGTGATCTCAAATGTTGGGAGTTTCCCTATAATATCATTAGCTTTCCTGCAGCCTCCATAATCGGTCATATCGACTGGGAAATGTAGGTCAATGACACTGATGTCGGTGTACGTGTACGTACGTACGTGTACGTGTGGTGTGAAAATTTGGACCAAACATGGATTCGTGGGTTGTATTGCGCATGCCTATAAACTTTTTTGACGCATTGCATCATGGGTATGGATGACAGACAAGCAATGCAGTTTATGCACAAACATATGAGGATAGGAACCAGTCAAGCTTTAAACTGTTTTTCTTAATTATTTTCCCAAGATTTAAGTAATCATCGATTCAGCTATAAATGTATAGAATATAAGATAAAATAATTTGTACATAAAATTAAGTTTTTATACTTCAGAAAAAAAATGAGAAATTATCTTTAAAATTATTCCCGGGTACCAGTCATGAGGCCTAGTGGAACAATAATTGTGATTGGTCAGTGTTGGAGCGTGAGCTTGGTGTGTTAAAGTGTTTGGCCAATATCGGGATTCGGGATGGTCATGATATTAATATTCATGACTAATGACACTGGTCTCTACAAAGGGATTCCCAAAAACTTTCTTCATTCTAATAGGCTTTAAAACTGACTTCAGAAAAGCTATATTTCAAATTACCAATGCAACAATGTGTGAAAAGATAATCACTAAATTCTTGAAACATAATGAGAAATAAAATGAATGTTGTAACTGGTACTCGGCCCCGTAGGTTTGTGCACAAATTCCCCGGTTGGTTTGTCATCCAGACCCAAGATGCTTAGTGAATATAGACCAGGTTCTAATTATGAATCTCTGAAAAAAAAAGCTATTTGAAAAAAATCGAGTGTGCGCAGTGCACTGTTGGGCACAGGATTTCCCCAAAGGGGTGTGAAAGTCCAAGAATGTTCAAGGGTGGGGGAAGGGGGGGGGGGTGACGTTGCTGTCAACACAAAAAGACTTGAGTGAAGACGATTTAGCCCTGGTCATTTTAGAAAAATTAACAATTCTGCTGTCTCTCTACTCCAAAATCAACAAACAATTAAACCCAACTGAACATACATAATTAAAGCTTTAAGTTTAATCACTCCACAATAACAGTTTTGTTTAATACTTCTTCGTGATTATGCTGAAGATCGTACAATACCACAATATACAAAAAAAATGAACATGTGTTACATAACATACAATGGTTAACTAGTAATGCGGTTCATTAAAAGATTATAGCAACATACTCAATTGAGATCTTATCCTGTCTGTCATAATTTCATTGGTTTTTGCATCTTTCGGCAAGTTCAGTTGAAATTGTCTTTTTAGAAAAATCTGAAAATTGTGACTGTTTATTTGCCATTTAAGCACAATTAAACTGAAGTTAAGATAAAAGTGTGCAGTAAAGGACTTGTGAAAAGAAAGACTAGACTTGTTGGATTTAACGTGTCAAATAGGGTAAAATCGTGAAAAGGAGTAAATACAAGTTTTAAAGTTATTGCAAACCCACACAAAGAAAAAAAACTTCTTTAGAGTGAATGTCGTTTTCTGTACATGTTTACAGCTTTGAGCAATTCAGCAACATACTGGACACAATACAATACTCTACAATGACACACACCTTTGGATCATTTTAGACCTTTTTTAAGCAGGGATTTGTTTGGAAAACTGGGCCGATTTGTCACACTGTCACCTGCAAAATATATCTTATTCAAAACTTTGAAATTTTTCATGGCATTCAAAATTTCAATGCAAGTTCATTTTCCATGCATCATCTTCTCGTAAGTATTCAACTGCGGCATTTTTTGCAAAGTTAGAACAAAATGCAAACAAGCAAAAAGCAAAGGTGTAAGAAAGTGGCAAATTTTACAGGAATGCACGATGTTGTTTACTAAAGATAGAGTACCGAAATGTGATGTCATCTGTCTTTGTTTTGGTTCACGCGCTGGTTATCATGTTGATGCGCGTGAACCAGAATACATGTATGCAAGAAAAACCTGCGGTGCTCTATCCGTTTCGAAAGTGTGACGTCATCTTAACTTAGCCACGCGTACTTGAAATCGGAAGTTAACGCAACTTGAATGATTAGCCAATGGGCACTAGTAATCTGTGCTACGTGCGCGTGTTTAACAAAGTCACTAACGAACCGGATTGTTAACTGAGGCCAGGTTCGCGCAAGGACTATAGTTGACCAATGGTTAACTAACGTTTGCCCGAACTCTAGTCGACGGTGGTTGACTACGCTAGTCGACTATTTGGAACCAGCCTACTGGGGTTGGTTGCTTCGCTGGTAACCAATGGCCGCGCGCATTTATAACGCTAGCAGAGAGCCAGGATCTAGAAGTTTTGCGATGATATTTTGACCAGCGTTTGACTAGAGACGTTCGCACGTTGCTATCAGTGCGCAGGCGTAAGGTACGTCACAAATCAACCACTAGTCGACTAATGGTCCTTGCCCGAACTTGGCCTGATTTGAACAGTTCAGGGTTATAGTGAGACATTCAAGAGATTTATCTATTGTGGTAATGTAAAGTTAAAATGTCATGACAACTCTTGAACAATGTCCGAAATAAAAGCAGCCCTCTGTGCAAAAATCTAAAAAATTCAAGGCAGGAACAACCGAAAGATATTTTAGTTGCAAATATGCAAATTAAATTAAAATTGTGTTTGTTGTCAATCTGTAAAAGCAGTAATCAGTCCTTTTCAATTATTCCTAAGAACATCATAACGTTGTTTTAACTGTCCCATTTGGGGTTTTTTTCGGGGAGACACGGCTGGCATAATGTCCACATTTTAGTGACTAAATCTCTGCTTTTACAGAATGAACTTCAAATGTTACAAGGTTATACTTACATTCCAACATTTTCTAACACTATGTTACATCACATTATTTGTGCCTCTTTAATACCGAGGAGATAAACATGAAAACCTTAGGTTAACAATTCATAAACCAAGTTAACTGTGAGTAAACAATTCATAAACCAAGTTAAATCTAGGTTAACAATTCATAAACCAAGTTAACTCTAGGTTAACAATTCATAAGCCAAGTTAACTCTAGGTTAACAATTCATTAGCCAAGGTAACTCTAGGTTAACAATTCATAAACCAAGTTAACTCTAGGTTAACAATTCATAAAGCATGTAAACTTTGGTTAACAATTCATAATCCGTGTTAACCCAAGGTTAACTTTTCAAAAACCATGAAGATTTACTGTACAAAAAGGTGACTCTTCTCACAAGAATGCAAGATACGTTTACATGAAAGGCAATACAGAAGAAAAAGAGAGCAAAAGATACAATCAAAACTCATGTACATACATATACACACTTTTAAACCCAGTTTGGTCACCCATAATAGTTTCAGGCTCACCACAGTGGTAATAACCGCATTCAAAGAATTGGGGGGGGGGGGGTGGCGAGTATCACCGATGAACCAAAATACTATTTTTCCAAGAACTTAAACTAAGTATTTGCTCTCAAATAGGATCACTGTTCAATTTAATTTATGAATTGAACTGATCTGTTGTATCACATACATCACACAAAAAAGTAATGCACTTTTGATCTAAAGAGTTAGTTACAAAACATTCACAAGAGGGCGCTGTTCAAGAGAAATACTGGCAGTACAATACTTTGGATGGATCAACAAATATATATATATTTTAACAGATATAATGGAGAGTAATTCTCAAGGCAAAAGTGCCCTCAGTTATCCAAGTCAGAAAGGCTAAAGAATATTACATACGTACAAGTTTATTTGCAAATAATAAATAAACAATAAATATGTGAATATATATGATGGGATATTTGTTTACAAAAACTGCAGCGCAGTGAAGTGGCATTGACTTCTAGGGTGCAACGGTTCAGCAATATCTCAGAAAAAAATCGTGAACAAAAATGCCACAATACTCCATCACAACATGAAAAGCTTATCAAGAAACTTGGCTATGATTTAACTCTGAGACAAAAAGTCTGACATCAAAAAGTCTGAAAAAACACTAAAATTCAAAAATGTCTCTCCAAAATCAAATGTGAGAAAAAGTGGGCAGCTGCAGAAGTTTCACTTGATTTCTGTTTTCCTTTCTTTCAAATGGAAGAGAAAACTTTTTACAAAAAAAGTAAATACAAAACAGAAGGGGTTTAAATTCAAAGTACTGATCCAACCTTTTAGGGTGAAAATAAGATGGCAATTGTTTACAAAAATAAAAGCTGTTAGTCTTGTAGCAATACCTGCTGTTAAGTGTGAAGACATTTAAAAACATTGAAGACAGAATTATCCTTATTGTAAGATTTGACAGACTAACCGAGTAAGCTTTTCAACAATAATTCGGTCAGTTACTTTTTGGATTACTGCAAATGATCTACTCTACCTTTAAGGGTTCAGGTTTGTCTCAAGAACTTTAGAGCACAATGTAAACCCACTGAGTGTCGCATATTCTATTTGTGTTCACATTGCACTGTTATCCTTCATCGCAAGGAATACCAGCTGGGGGAAAAAAACAGTAATACTGGGGAGAATGGGAACTCACACACTGGACGTTGCACATAACAACGGCATCTTTTGTTCAATTCATTCTACGCACCTTTGACTAGAGTATGAAGTTAAATAACGATACTTAGTTTTAAAAAAAAAAAAAAAGAGAGAAAGAAAAAAAAGGAAATTCTGTTATCACCACCTTAAAGCCTCTGGTGTCATTACAAAAAACTAGGTACAAATTGCTGTTCAATTCATTTATAATGTACCCTGGGGTATGTATCGCAATTTACAACAACTGCTTCTTAAATACCATATTTTTGTAGTCGAGTCAATCACAAGTCCCTCACAAGTCCTGCAGTCCCAAGTCAAGCCACAAGCTAGTCAAATGATCCGTCACAGAGGACATTCTTTTGTCATTGTTCATCCCGTGTTACTTCTGACCGGACTTGAGACTTACTGTTAACCAGACTTGTGAAGGACTTGCCTACATGTATACAACACTGTCTGACCCTACGACGTTTACGACAACTAGTATGGACAAGGCTACAGTTTCAAATAAATTTATTATTATTCTAAAGTACGCTACTGTGACAGCTGCAAGCAAGTTTTGCAGAACACCAATTAGAAGTTGTCACCATTGTCGCATTTTCAGTCCTTCTCAGAGTCCTCGAAGAATGCTGAAATATAAAATTATTACTTATTAGGAGCCGTATCCGGGATAAGCTACAGAAACATTTCTTCGCAACGAATGAACTTGTTGCAGGATCCTGAACAATTTCCCTGGAGTCCTCCTACGATGAAGTAATCAGCATTACTGACAAACTGATGAATTCATTACAGGAAGATTTTGGAGAAATTTTCAGAATCCTACATTTCAAAATACTTGACAGACTTTGGAAAAAAAACTAGGCCAAAAAACTGAATATGATTTGACTCTACAATAATAGAAAAACTACAATTTACATCTTAATGCAGGAGCAATCGGCATTTTCATGGAAACCAGCTGGCAAATACCGCTCGATAAACACACAGAGTTTCACTTTCGCTAGGAGCATCCCCCACTGTTTCCAGGGTATCCATTGCCATGTAAATTAAAAGTTAATAGGCTACAACTTCCTTAAATCTTACAAAATCCTCCAAACCTTTCATGGATTTGAAGGATTTGTGAGGGCAAGCGTTAATTAACCGACCAGAAATTACAAACTAAATGCAGCTCAATTAAGATTTATGTAACGTTGGCCAAACGTTACTACCTCAGCTTGATAAAAAATTTCAGTCGCTGTTCCCAAGGGCCACTTTTATGGAGCTACGAAGCAGCTTAGCAAGTTTAAATGCTGAGCACAAACCAGCAGCAAGCCGGTCAGTCGCAATATACATAACATAGCACTTTAGCTGGTGACCTGTTTTCACTAAGCAAATGCTTTTTTACGCTTAGTGAAGTTCTGTGTAAGCGTACCTTTTTACGGTAAACTGATCCCTGTACTCAATGGTGATTGGCCACGCTGTTTCCATGGGTCGAATTTGTCTTGGCCCCGTTTTTCTTTGCGCTCTTGCCGTCCTCAGAGCTCTCCAAATCCGTATCTTCGGCTACGTCACTACGGGAGTCATTTTCCAGCTAATAAAAAAAAAATGTCTCAATTTAGGTCATCGCATAAACTTGGATGTTCTCAAGAGAACTCAAGCAGAAAAGTTTTTGTTTTCTGCAAATAGATTTGGGTAGGACAGTCCAGTTGTGAAAGATTCTGGAGCCATATGCAATATTTTCCTCATGCATATTCATAAGCCCAATGCACTTATTTCATTGGTCAATGTTTCAACAAGTTAAAGTAGCTCCCGTCGCTATTGGAAATTACCGAACTACAGGTTGTTCCCTCAGCCTGGCTTGGGACACTAGTTTGTCAACTTCCAATACATAGGGGATATAATATACAAAGTAAACATGCTTTGAGGGTTGAAAGCATAGACTATCCACCCTCATACCATGTTATATTGCTATACTCTCCACCTCAAACCATGTTCTATTTTATAATATCCACCTCAAACCAATTTTGTAAAACACTTACCTTCCCATTCGTGAGGCCAGTGTACACCATGGACAGGATAATACTGAACCAGTAGAGATGGAGGGCGTACAGTGTGCACAGCAATGCAGTGAAGAAATACTTGGAAGGGTAGGCCCCGATCAACATATGACTATCAATGATTATACTGCTCAGTATCCTGTGAACGGGGGCACGGGTGGGGAAAAGGGTCAAAAATAGAAATCGGATATGTGGAAAAGAGGAAGGGCCAATTCAAATATTGAGCAAGCGTGAGTTAGAATGCAAATTTATGACGTGGCAGCAATACCTTTAACCCAGTCTGAACGTGGACGCAAAATGGTGGGCCATTTGAAGTCTGAGATCAGCCAGCCTGTAGATAGTCAGGTTGACCTACGACATGAGGGTCAACCTAAATTTAAATATCTACGCATATACCAATAGGGTGCTGCGATTAAGCCTGACTCGTGGCTGTGCAGGGGAAGTAGGCCAATCAAACTACAGGGGTGGCGGCACAGCCAAAACGCATGGCAACCAATATGATAATAAAAGCACGAGGCTGTTGCCTGTCCTCATACATGTGTCTTGTGAGGTCACGTTTCCAATCTAAAGTAGCACTTTTACTACATTGTATCTACTGATGCATCCATCCAACCATATACAGGCCTATTCACACCAAATCTTGGGGTTGATGCGGGGTTGACACAAGGTTGAAAACATGCAGCATTTCACAATTGAACATTTTCAACCCCATGCCATCCCTGCGTCAACCCCAAGATTGATTTCACCCCGGGTTGAACTCAACCCTGCTCCAGACCAGGGTTGTGATTTTCACCCCGGGTTGAAACTCTCACCAGGGTTCAAAACAGTTGTGAAACAAGCTTGGTTTGCACAAAACAAGATGATGTGGGGGTAAAAATGTTTAAAAAAAACTCAACCTGTCGCGGCACTGGGTTCGCCCAGGCTTGAGTTCAACCCGGGCTGAGAGGCTGTAGTCTGAAAAGGCTTAGAGTGCTGGGTGGATTTTGGGTGCTACAGGGAGTAATAGGCGGGGTGGTTTGGGGCGGTACAGTGTCTAATGGGTCAATGTGATTTCTTTTGGCCCGTAAATAAATCTGATAACTGAGACTTAGAGTTGACTTCTTGAATACTCACCAGTAAGGAAATAGTAGCACTCGAGTGAGAAAGAACACGACACCAAAACATACAAAAAGTATGTGTGCAAAAATGACGAACCCAGCATAGTTAGCGACCTTGGCACCCTGAGGTCAAGCAAAAATACTTTTTTTAAATACACACAAAAAAGCAAATAAAAAAATCAATTCGGTAATTTGTTAAAATTTGGTCAGGAATGAGTTTTTATACAGGCGTCAAAATTCTTAAGAAAGTTGTTTTCTCCCTTAGAGATGGACCGCCTGTGCTGTTTCTGGGTTAAAAAAAAAAAAAAAAAACCAGATTATTTTTTGGGAGGGGGCAATAAAATTCACTTTTGAATGAGACACTGACCAAAAAAAATTGGCCTAAATGTTAGTTTAGTTATTTAAAAAAAAATCTAAGTTACTTTTGGCCCGACAATAATTCAGTTCTTGAAGGGTAGACTGGTTCTCGCCTCCCTATCAGAATTGAGAATGCAGGGACCAGGAACCAGTCTACTCTGTGGGCTGATCTATTTGTGCACAGAGGCACATCAAAATAAAAATCTTTTTTAGTCAAGAGTTGTAGATAAATTTAAAAAAAAAAATATTTGTAAAAAAAAAAAAAAAAAAAATTGTCAGGAGAAAAAAAAATTAATTCATGAAAGAACACAGACAACACATTTGTGATAATAAACAGTTGGTTTAAAAGCTGAAGCTGATCTTACCTCCAGAAAGATATCTGAGATATCATGTATGACCATGACTAGGGAACCTATGCGGGTGAAGTTGCAGATATACGAGAAGGATATCAACAACACTGTGGCGATATGGTGTATCACATTGGCAACGAAATCCTGCAAAACAAACGGAAACAAGCCGAGGCAAACCTAATAAATATGGTACCAGAGTGTACAATATTCTACTGAATTGAAACAGAATGGCTATTCACTGCAAGTCTTTTCATGCATCTGGTCTACACAATAGGCCAAATTATGCCCATTACGGAGTATTCCTATATGACAGCACTGCCCGACACCCTTTGCCAGCCATAAGGCTAATTCACAAGTGATAATCAGAGAGTTAAAGCCGGTTAAGACTTCATGTGAATACGAAGCGAATTTGACGCGACGAAGAATTCGCTACGAAATTAACCGGAGTTGATGTGTTCAACATTTGCGAATTCGCAGCGCAAAAACTTGCCCTGATTTCACAAATTCATGTTCGCTTTCACGCCGAGTATCGACTGGCCTTCAGTCAGTGAGTCAGTCAGTCAGATCAGGTACAAAGAGGACAACACGCTGGCCCATCTGAAGTCAGGTCCACCCTAATCAGGTCCGCTGGAATTAGGTCCACCATAAGCACAACCACATCACATCGAAAAACAGATACGCAAGGCACACAAATAACATTCACGCTACACCAGTAGATTGTGGGTTTTTCACCCAGGTAGCGCCCCTCTACCCTGGTCCCAACCAGGGGCCAATTTCATAGAGCTGCTTAAGCACAAAATTTGCTTAAGCACAAAAACGTCTTGCTTAATAAAATCAGGTTACCGGCCAAAACTCCATGCGATTGTTATGCTATGTAAACAACAGCTTAATACCAGTCACAAGCAATGTACATCACATGGAGTTTTGGCCGGTAACCTAATTTTACTAAGCAATGTTTTTTCGTGCTTAAGCAAATTTTCTGCTTAAGCAGCTCTATGAAATTGGGCCCAGGGTTGGATTTTACCTGGGCTCTATAAAGTGTTCGAAAGGCGCCCTCTATGTTTGTGCACGGAGCCCATAGGTCGATGCAGCGTACTACTGACCTTTCTCCGGACGTCTGTGAAGAGCGACAAGAGAAGGGAGATATAGAAGGACCACTCTAGAAGGTAGTAGTTGAAGAGAGGGGTTGTCAAAGGCTGCGGAATGAAACAATATTATGTATCGTTAACCCATAAGCACCTGTTATACACGGCATTGAAGAGCAAGCTGATATATCAGCTTGAACACTATTGCGCATTGTTTCCACCCTGTCCTATTCAGGCAATTAGTTCCATACTTTAAGAGTTAAACATAGGTTGGAGGTGTATGCAGACTTTTCTCACGGCTGGCGAAACTCACATGGTACGGGAAGTTGAGCCAACAGATTTGGGATGACCAGAACCAATCCTCTTGTGGGTGGTAATAGATCCCATAGAGAAAGACAAATGTGTAGAATGCGCAACGCCACCTTCAAAGAAAAAACAGACAGAAAAGAACAAAATTCAATAGATTGAAGGAAAGAACAGATAGTGGTAAGCTAAACAAAGTTGCTGAGCCAAAGTTTTACTTGCTGGAAGTTGATACCGAGTGAGATATATAATAATAGTCTGGAGCTTTTCCCATTAAATGGCGTACAATGTATAAGACAGATTCGGGAAGCTGGATCTACAGTTGCCCTGTTTATCTATCAGGCAACCTTCATACAGAAAAAAAATCCAAACTCACGAGTTCTCAGTGAACTTCTTGAGCGGCGACGGCCGCTCCTGGTTGCGACGTCTGCGGAACCAGCGTTCCACCCGGCGAACTGACCAGTCCAACTGCTTGCCCAGTCCCTCAAGCCGCTTGTGGTCAGGGTTGCGTGTGACCGACAGGAATGCTTTCTCCAGGATCAGGTTGGACACCGGCTTGTAACCGCTGGTGACCCGAATCCCCATGGCAACGCCGATCGGGGAAAATATTAACCTACAACAGCGAGATAAATAGATGTCAAATAAATTGCGTCGTCTGTGGCACACAATTATCCAACTTGCAACAACCATTGGTAAACTTTTTCTGTTTCAGGCATCTGTAACCCTCTGAAAAAGTTCTTATTTTGAGTAACTTTTGAGCCTCTTATGCAGAACATAAACGACTGAATCATAGTTGGGCCGCAAATATTTCAAAATTCATAAAGTAAGTATTCCATCACCACACATGGGCAGGTTTTCATTCGAAGTCTCATACAAAAGAGCAGAAGTTTTGTAGAGCTAAAAATTGGAATTTGTAAAATTCCATGTTTCATGGGAAAACTCAAACAATAGCTGGACAGTACATCTGTAACAACCGAATCTTCAAGGGAAAAATTTCAAGGTCTTCTTGAAAATAAAAACCTCGAAATTGTCCAAAAAAAAAGCTTCAACATTAACCCACTACTGTAAAAAATTAGTCAAGTGTACAGCCGCATTAAGAAGAGAACTTCATGTTGCCATGGTAACAAGCAACCATGGTAAAACACATACATGTACATGTATAGTGTACATGTACAGAAAAATACAGTGTACAAGGGCACTTTTCCTGAGTGCAATCACATTAACTACCGGTACGCGATTGTCATCAGAAAGGAGCTCTAACTGCATTGATGCCTTTGCGGGTTTCCACGGCAACACAAGGCTACAAAATCCCATTTCAATGTAAATGGATTGCAGCGTTGTATGTGCACACGTGCGTCACATGCATAATGATTTCAAAGCAAAAATTCAAAGGCTTTCTTCCTTAATACAAGGAACATGAAACTGGTATATTTGACAGATTTTAAGGGCACAAATTCAGCCGATATTCCTCAGGGAAACTCTCACTGTAATGCTTGACTGAAGTGCAAGAAGTACTGTAAGGAGAACTTTATCCTCTGTCCTACATGTAATATCTACAAACCCTTGCGACCTCTGCCCAGTTCTGTCTCATTTTGCCAGAACGTCTCACATATTTGGTATATTCAGCAGAGCCCTAAGATTAGGAATGAAATATCCAAATCCAGTCAGCCCACATGTGCAGGGTTGGGTGGGGTTATCATCACGTGTACGTGACGATCAGTGTAATGTATCCAGAGGATGAACACATGTATGTTCAGACACGGGACACTTTCGCGCTTTAAGCTGTATTTGTTTGGGTATGGGGAAAAAAAACAATCTGGTTGTGCTAAATCAAATCAAACAAAGAGCTAGTACAAAATGTCCTTCATGTTTAAGTTACTGTTTTGTAATTTGTACAATGCATACATGTACAAATTACAGTAGCATAAGAATTTGTTACTCTCAATATGACAGCCAAAAACGGATTGCGCTTTAGTCATTCTGGCAGAGCTCCTGCTGAACAGTTACAAAGGAAGGACAAGTGAACACTTTAATTACTGTTGACTGACTGGCACTTACAGAAGACGATAAAACGGTCTTGCATACCGGTACATTATGAAAAATTTCAAGAAAAAGGAAAATTTACTTGCACATGTGTATTGGCTCAGCCCCACATGAAGCCATCGACATTTTTACATGTACATGGATGTAACTTCACACCTGTCTTTATCATCGGCAAAGCCTAACCTCCATGTAATAAGGAAATAAGCAGCCCTGCTTACAGAACAGGCAGGACAACGATGAAGGCCAAGGACAGACACCCCAGGGGGTTGCCACTGCCTGTCATGCTGTCAAACTGAGGACAATCAATTACGACTGAGCTACCACAAAATGAGGAATACTCTCTTTGTCAAGGTTCCCAGCTTGAGTTGCCCCCCCCCCCATTTTCCCCCAGTATCCTGTGCAGCTATTTTTGGTTCATTATGCATGCAGAGCCTTTGCGAAATTTTAGACTGATGGCCTGCAGACATTGACACCAATTTTATACAAATCAGATGTAGCATTTACAAAGACATGGGTAACTCAAAAGTCTTTTATTTTCCATTCACTGTGTGTATGATCAAATGCATTGGTTCACGCTCATTCACAGAAACTGGGAATATTAATGATCGTAACTGAAAAATACTTTGTTCAGTTGAGCTAAAATGTAATGTTAATGTTTCTACTAGCATTCCAAATTTCATGACAATTGGTCATTGCATTTCTGATATCAGAAGAGGGAAGGGGGGGGGGGCTTTCCCCATGTACATGTCATATGACCATAGAAAACTTGGCTCTTTTGTGCTTTGTAATTGTATTAAAGTAGGGGGTTGAAAATGCTTGTCAAACCACTACCAAACCAAGGACTCTCAAGGCGGTGCCATGACAACATGAAGAATACTATATTCACTCTCTTCCTTCCTTAATCAAGGCTGCATTCATGCTGGGCTTGAGATACCATAGAAGGAAATGCCTCATTATGCTACAGTGTCCAAGGGATACAACTGCCAGTCAAACTGCATTCATCAACCCAATGACAATCAGTCAACATGGGGAATTTTTCCCTGCCTCAAAAATGGGTCCTACATGTAGCTCTATGCTCAAACTGGAATGGTTCTCAAGCTGGGTGGAGGGCAAGGTTGTCATCATCAAACTGAAGACTATCACTCACGGCCCAGTCCAACAAAATGAGGAATCTCCTCTTCCTCAATACAGGATGTTTCACAAATGTAGATGGGTCATTAATTAAGGGTGCAAAGTGTGGCTTTTTCCCCCTGTCCCTGCTTCCTTATTACGTTGTACTTTTTAGTATCAATAAGAATGACTTCAAACACTTTTTTTTTTATATAATAATAATAATAACGGAGTCTTATATAGCGCACGTATCTACCAACAATTAGGTACTCAAGGCGCTGAAAATTATGTCTATTATTAAAGAAAGGTAAATAAAGTATACGAGAAATAAGAGACCCATTATGTAGCACCTTATCTGTTCGGCTAGTACAGGTAGTTTTCTACTGGTAGGCCCTATTTATAGTAATTCTTGGACAACTGCATTAAGAAGTGCATCAGAATTATACAATCGTAGATGTCAGATGTAACAGCAAAAAAAAATGGAACCCAAATTTATATAACGAGCATCGTTCACAGCGAATGTAGAAAAAATATATTTATAACTGCAAGTAGATCACGGATAGAGTAGATTAATCATGAATAATATGTAAACAAACCAACTGGGAGTGCGAAGAGCAAATTTACAAACACTTGACCTTGATGCAGTGAATAGAATAGACATGTGTCATACCCTTCAAAGTACAGTCGAGTCTCGTTAATACAAACTCGTTCGGACCTAGCCAAATTGTTTGTTATATCAGCATTTTGTATTAAGAGGAACATCAGTCCCATTCATTGTGCACATAAATGCACAGTCGGGACTAAGGCTTTACGTTTGTTATAACCAGAATTTTGTATTAACAGAGTTTGTACTAACGAGATTCGACTGTAATACCATCAGATAGATGCATATGCATGATATGCTGGTACACAAACATGTAGACCAAGCCTGTAACAATATCAACTACTTACATGTATAAATTCCTTGATTTTAAAAAATTGGGTATTTTTTTTCTATTATTCCTTATAACCTGGGCATCCTACTTTTAAAATTGCACGGTTTTGAAAAGATGTTTGGAAAAAAAAATTTGTACTTGTCGTGCGGTTAAGAGTAAATAAACAATTTCCCTCCTCATTTTATTTTTAATTTACAGCAAATTCCAAAAATGAAAAACTTTTTAATAATGAAAATATTACTAATTTTCTCTTGAAATCTGCACCACATTTAGACATCTTTTCTAGGTTTCAGAGACATGCAAATATGCCGATTTAATTTTTGAATATTGTGTTCAATCATCCAGTCCATAAATGTATGGGTGAAATATTGTTATACACACATCTAGTTACTGCACACATGTACATATCGTACATACAAATGTACATGTACATGTACATGTACAAATAACATGTGTATACAGTGTGCACAGTATGCACATGTACATGTGCAGTGGTACACGTACATTAATTTACACAATATAAGACCGTTTTTGTAATTGAATGCTTGGGCTTCACCTTAAGAGCTGGCTCAGCCCCTTAGATGACAATGCTGGAGGGGTGATTCAGAGGTGATTAACATAAACCCGAATTGATTAAAATCCTCATGAATAAATCATGAGAAGATAGTTGGTTAGCGGACCATCTGCTGTGTGACCGTGAAGACTAAATGGACAGTCTACACACTATGCATAATTAATTAAGATGATTCACGCTCTTATGGTATATTATGCCAATTTATGCGTCAATGCCAGAAAACCCCCATTGACGCATTCACAACTGAAAGGGTCATCATAATAAGCAGACCTGACGTAAGATTTAGGGGAAATGAAAAATCCACAAAATAATCCGCGGAAGATTTAAGGGTTGCCGAGGGTCCCAGAGAGCAACCGTAGGATCTATGGACCAAGGTCAAGATGGAAAATGATAAGGCAATCAAGAACAATGCATGAAAAACCCTTAATGTTTCTTTGTTAAATCCAATTTCTGTGATGTATTCATTACATTCAGTAAAATACATATTTTTATTTGGACGAAAAATGTCTTTTCTTGAACTAAAAAAGGAAATGTCTGTTCAGTTAATACAAGAGCATTAAGGCTGCTGAATTAAATGAGTAAGTTATGTAAATTATCGGTAAAAGGTGGCTCAGGTTACCCTGATGGATCTGATATGTTTGGGGAAACTGCGAAATCCCTTTAAAATATTCCCGTGACCTGTCGATGTCAGGGCAGCGTACTGGAGGACGTCCCGTCTGTTTCCCTCTATTTGAGCCTGAAAATAGTAATTGATATACAGTGTACCCCCCCCCCCAACAAAAAGTGACAAAGTCCAAACATTAACAGTTTAACTGCATACAGTGTGTTGTGCTACTTGGAGCAACTTTGAAAATATGTCAGAATTTGGGATTGTCATGTTGAGTTTCATTTCCTTAAAATTAATGGATTTATCATGATAAATGACCCCTCACTTCAATTCCACTTTCTAGTTCGGTAATACCTAAAAAAAAAATCACCAGTTGATCGTGCAGGTTTCTTTTTCAAAAAGAGGAGGATGAGGGCCTTTTTATTTTTTATTTTTTTTATAAAAATAGAATAATTTTTTAAAAAGGAGGCGGCTTTAAAAAAGGTTGCAGGCTGGGACGATCAACTGGTTTTTTTTAACTAAATAACCACCTCATTCTAAAAAAAATATATGTTGTCTGCAGCAAGCCGATGTAGTTTAGGAAGTTGACCCCATTCACAACATCAGTTGTGTTACTCGCCTAATGTGTACTGTATGTTATGCATACACGGTAGGCACTGCATTTACCATGTTTACGTCACACAGTGCAACTCAAGACGCCAGGAAAACCAACACCACTCTTGGGTTTAGGCGTTAAAGTCTACATCGATAAATTCAGAGAATAGTATTTTTCATGTAATTATACACTGTACATGTTACCATGTAGGTCTGGAGGGAAAAGGCGTGCAATCATTGCACCGATCTGACATGAAACAGATTAAAAAAAAAAAGAGCACAAAACTGCGTAGGTTGGAGTGAACACATTATTGTGTAATTTGTAATTCAACGACCACACTAATTGACATTTGAATTATGGAGTCATTCAATCTCAATTACTCAAATTACATACTACTTACATGTACATGTAGAAAGTAATACAATTATGTTAAATGCATTAGGCGAAATAATAAAATTGAGTTTAGCATATCCGCCCACTTCCTTTTTGGAGGCCCCCTCCTTTTCCTTTTTTATTATATTGTAAAAAAAAAAAATTCTAAGTTTAATGATCTTTTTCGGGAAAAAAAGGTCGTACTTTAAGACTGTAAAAAGCTGGTATGCCATTTCCAAGTGGCGGCCATTTAAAAAAAAAGCTGGCAGCCATTTTGAAAAAAAGGCCCGGCCGGTCGTTTTGGAAAATGGGTCAGGCGGCCATTTTGAAAAAAAAGGGGGGCCTCCTCCTTCCTTTTTTCAAAAAGGCAGGACGCTGAACATGTTTGGTTCTCCTTGGGGGGGGGGCCTTATGTATGTACTCGCAAGTTCGTAACCAGAGACATTTGGGCTGATTGGTTTTTGTTTCAGTGGAAACCATACCTGACAATTCAATTTTTGAACGGAAAAGCGACTCATTAGCTTCCAGTTTGATAGATGATTTGTAGAATAATTTTAAAAGCTACATCTTCGCTGTGTGATCCCTGTTTGCTATTTCCCAGGCTTGCAAGTTTGCTAATGTTGCTCAGTGCTCACGTTGTGACAACATTGCACCAACGTTGCAGCATTGCTAATGTTGCTATCATCATGACTAAGTGGCGTTGGGCTGGCGTGATCCACGGTCACGTGGCACATGTTCGTTTATACTTTTCTTGGCTAGAGTCTAATCAACAAAGACATTGACATATTGAAAGACCACGACCACGCATACATAGTAGGGCCCAAATAAGTATCGTGTTTCAGAGGTGCAGAACCTTTTGCAAACCCTTTCAATTCAATTTCTTTTCTCGATCTTATGAATTGATTTCATTGAATAAAAAACACCTTGTTGGGCGTTGTTTGTTCTAGAGTTTAAAAGTTCATCCTGTAACGCTACAGAGCTCAAATTCAACTGGCTTTGATAAAACTGACTGTAATCATGTGAAGTGTGCTAACAATGGGACAATGTGAACATGCCATGGGCTACACATTCTGAACAATTCATCATCATTTGCAAAGCGATTCATGAAAGAAATATGCAAAGAAATTTAACATTTGTCTGCAACATTAAAGTCTCAACCAGTGAAGTTTGTAAATGTCAGCAGACATGGTAAAAAATACAAGCAACCACCTGCATCAAATTTGCATATATATATACTGGCAGATGAGAAACAATTTATCAACCACCTTTGACCCAGTCTAATTCTGGATATAAATTCTCTATTAATTGTAATAACATGGTCTTCTTTGTGGCTTGACACCACAATAGTCGCACTTCATTACTGGAATATAGGTGGCTTGTCATGCGTTGTGCACACGCTCAACAAGCATGAATTGGCATACAATGTAGCCTATTGGTTCAAATGGTTTGAACCCAGAATGAAGTAGGCGAGTAATTTACCTGCAACTTGCCATAGTATACAATTCAAAGTTGACATTCCAATGATTTTCAATTTAGAAAGTTAGTTAAAATTTTCCATGATGGTTTCAGAAAGAATGTTGCAACCTGACGCTGATTTTTTCTTCATATATCATCTCAATGAAGGTCAGTCATTGCAAAAATGACGATAAGACATGAATCTGGGACTGAGAAAAATTTCCATTTCCAAAAAAAGGAATTTTTTTTTTTTTACTCTCCATAGACTTTGTACCCAACAGCCGTAGTAGCGTCAGGTTGCAACATTCTTTCCATGGTTTCTAACAATTTAAGCTATTCTGATTACAATACAATAATAAAGGTGTCTTCTTAATGAATGACGGAAGGGGTTTTAAGGAAAAAGGGGAGTGGGCAGTGTTTAATTGTTCTTTCTGATGAAAAGAGGGCAAGCTTTAAGTTTTATTCATTCAATAACAATTAACCTATCGCGGTAGAATCGCGCAACGCGCAAAATCTGTGACAAACAACATGTAACGTACAAAAATTCCACAGGGTTGTCTAAGGGGAGTGGCTAACTCGCAAATGGTGATAGGTCAATACTACCATGGAGCTAGGAACTCTTTATACTACTGACATGAAATCTACATATCCCATGGAAAGAAGGGGGTGAAGTTGGCCTAAATTTGTTTTTACCATGTTTACTGCCATACTGGATGCAATTTTAGTTTTGCAAACGTATAGTTATGCATGTATATTCCTTCCTCCATGATAATGATATCATCAACCAAGCCATGATACAATAAGGAAATGGTTAACCATCTCTAGTTTATCATGTAGCACCATCCATTTTTATGGAATATAACATTATTAGCAACGCCCATTGCAAACACAACACAGCAAAACTAAACAGTAAACTCGACACAACCAGTCCTAGCCCCATAAATGTGGCCTATTTACTGGACTGCCTCCGTAAACATAGGCCACACATCCACATGTACAAAAATCGTGTCGACTTTGCCAAATTTTGATTTTCACATTAAGGCTTAGTTTGTAGGGTTTTTTTGCTTTAGAAGCATACTCACCCTCTTTATAGGCTAATCAGAAAAGTGCTGCCTTTTTCAGATGTATATTTTTCGTGAAATTTCCAGATTCATTTTTACACGTTTGCGTATCAAAATTTCAACATGAAATTTCACAAAAATTAGACATCTGAAAAAGGCAGCACTTTCTGACTAGCCTATAAAGTGGGTGAGTATGCTTCTTAAGCAAAAAAATCCTACAAACTAAGCCTTAATGTGAAAATCAAAATTTGGCAAAGTCGACACGATTTTTGTACATGTGGATGTGTGGCCTATGTTTACGGAGGCAGTCCAGTAAATAGGCCACATTTATGGGGCTAAACCAGTCCATGACACAAACACCAACAATTGAACAAAATAAAATGACAGATTCTCTACTCAAACTAGCATAGAGATATATGCAATAATGCATAGAGCAAGGAAGATACGACTACGAGTACGAGGCATTGTAACTGACTGTGTACACATTGATTTGATGGTCTGATCATGCATGTTTACGTCTGCAGATAAGGCTCACACGCGCCAGCCATCAACCATGCCAAGCACAATGCGGAATGCCCCGTGCCGTGCCCATGTCATTATTTGACAGATACGGTAACACACCTCCCAAAAAAACTGAACTAACCTCTCGAGGCATAATCTGATAATGACGAGCGCGATCGCCAACATGGCCACATATTTGACATCTTCAATCTGTGGGTATCTCACATCCTCGGTGCTTCGGAGATCGGCCCAAGTAACATTCGCTGGAAACCAAAATCGCTCGTTGAAGACGTACGCCGATAACCCGCCCGCCATTGTTGTAATACGTTTGGTAACAAAATAATGCACACTAAATATCTGCACGCTTTGAATTCACGCATTGACCACATGTATTAGTCACCGGTACACATCACGCGAGGTTTTCGCGGGTGTCCTTAATTTTTTTTGAACAGGGAAGCCAGGTTACGGGGCGCTTAGTACCAGGGAAATTGCTTTGACAAGTTATTCAACGCGCCCGTACCCGGCCGGCGGTACCCCGCCCCCCCCCCCCCCCCCCCCTCCACCCACCAAACACCCTGATCCCCTTCTGTATTTGGAAGATGGAAGATCAATTAAAAAATATGAAATTATGACATGGCAAGTAGACGGAAGGAACGCATAATCCTGACGCAATGTTCAGGATACTGCATGAGTCAACTTAAAAATGAGTCAACTTATTAAAACATCATGAATTTGGGTCCGAGAAACAAAATGGACGGTGAATTTTTCAAGACAGTACAATACTTTGTCTACAAAACCAACAAAGTCACTTGTAAATACACGATATCGTTTTCGAGAAGAAAATACCGAAAGAAAATATTTGCTCAAGATGAAGGATTTTAGAGGATCCAATATAGGAACAGAACCCGTATAACAACATACCCAGCTACCATGAATTAAAAAATAATATTCATAAATACCTCAGACAGTTTAGCCATTCCTATTGGTCGAGAGCCCGTCACGTGGCCGGTATTAAACGGATGATAAAGACATGGCTAACTGGTCTTAAACACTTTTCCAGTGTCACAATAAAATGTGGACTCCTAAAAATCCAGTGCCTCTTATCGTTTCATTGGTTGAACGTTCACAATCCTCACGTAGGCATGCGCAACACTACCAGGGAGTTAGAATTTTATAGTTCTAAATTCAAAACGCAACGCGCCAGGTGCGTTCTGCGCGACATCGCATAGAACATGATACGCGCGCGTCAATCTCCATAAAAGGGTTGTTTTCATCTTACTCGCCAGCTGAACACTCCATTATTTTGCAGGAGGGATGATTCAAAAAGCATAAAGTGAATTTGTTGAACAAAATCGGGATGTTTTGAACGAATTATATGATTTTTTTTTTACCGAAAAGGTATTTATGAATGGGAATAAATATGTACTCCGTCGGTATTTATCACTCTGTTTAATACCACTTAGAGTCTGGGCGCTGATAATTACCCTCGCCTCCGGCTCGGGTAATTATCAGCACCCAGACTCTAAGTGGTATTAAACAGAGTGATAAAAACCTCCGGAGCACACATTTATTCCCTTATTCATCGGCCCCCATTTTAGTGGGTCAGGATTTTAAATTACAATTATTACCGGAAAAAAATTCTGAAAATGTCCTGCAAGTTCTTGAGAACAATCGATTGTACCAAACTGCAACCAAATTACACTAGTATTCTGAATTCGCTGCTGAATTAATAGTTAATACAGATACTGAAAACATTCAACTTACTCATTCAACGAGTACATAAGTTATTTTCTAAGTTATGTAAGTAATTGGTAACAGGTGCAGGACGGATCTGGTGGACACCCTGATAGTTCTGATATTAGGGACATTTCATCGGGAAATCTGAAAATATCCCTTTAGGCCTGTAGATTTCAGGGCATGCAGCGTACAGTTCCCGGTGGAGCACTTCCTGTATAGTAAGCACCACTTTTTTTAATTGGTACACAGTCATAACAATGATTTTAAACCATATATTTCTTAATTCTCGGAATTTAGAATCCAACGTTTAAGTGTTCAAACGGATTTTCAATAGTAAATGTTTTATTCGAGCGTTTGCAACCCTCTGAATAACAGTCATTTATTTTGGGTTGCCTTTGCAACTCTATGCACTATCTATCTAACGCAAAAAAAGTTAATTAAGGAGGCCTAAATATATATTTGTTTGACCGCAAGTAGCTTAATGAATTCGAAAATTATTGAGGTGACATAACAGGAGTTATGTGAACCAATTATTCCCACACTATAAACGTTCACAAATTATTTTCGTTCGATGCCTCAGTCAATTTCGTATTTAATGAAATTAAGCAATTTAAAACACTTATTTTTTTCGGGATGTAAGTCGAAAACAGCACGATTTCCAAAGTGGATAACCCCCCCCCCCCCGGGTCACTCCCATGATCCGGCATGAAAACAATTCTGGAGGGCGCTATTTACAGTCGACGGCAGCACAATCGATGAACAGCAAACTTAAAAAGCTTACACATATTTTTCTCTTTTCCCCTTGTTTAGCTTGTACCTTCTGCAATTTAATCATCATTTAATTTACATTTGCCTTAATTTCAATCTTGTATTTTCATTTCCTTACAATTATTAGTTTCCCCCATATAAAAAGATTCCCCACAGATATGGCCGAACACTAAATAGTCGTCGGGGCGTTGAGCACAAAATATTTCCCACAATCCCTCATGCTCGACCTTTTCTTCCGGTTCGCCGTTTAGCTGAGGTACGGATAGAAATAGTTGCTCGAAAAGATCGCCTATCATCCTATCGAAAGACATAAAAAGAACTTAAATTGTAACATTTTATTTACAATTGAGTATATGAACAATAAAATCTCGTGAATTTTGTTTATAATGCTAGTTTCATTGTCCGAACATAACGTTTTTACCCCCGTGTATTGGACATGGAGACGTTGAGTCACTGAGCTGTGTTGTTAAATTCATCAATGACAATGTTCATTATAAATTATATTTTCATGTGTATGCAGTCGCTAGTAGGCCCAATTTAGTTTTTATCACATAAAAAATTAATGATGCTTTGTCTGTGGAATGTTAATTTAGTTACCATTCTGCGTGTCTAGTCTGTATCCTCGATCTTTCATTATCATCATCATGATTATCTGCGCAGGTATTTAAGTTGCACTTGCAGGTCTGCAGGTAGTGGATTGCGGAGTCCCGGATCCTCGGATCTGGATTGAACTGTAAAGTCTTGATCTTCTGAAGGGAGGGCGCGCTTGTGGAACGGGGCACTGGCATAACCATGATGACTGGATGGAGCCATATCCATATGAATGATCTTAGGACTAAAATTCTTTTGAGAACGAAGCATCCATATCCATATTAATTTCCTCGCAAAGGAAGGGAAGGCGCGCTCTTTTCTTTCTCTTTTTTGAATAAATTTTAAAATGAGAAGGTTGCATTAGGACCTTTGAAACATTGAAAAACAGGAAGTAATCCAATGGATGTATTTGATGCCTGACTTCCAGGAACTGAACCATTGTACCATTTTGTCACATCAGTTAACGCCAAGTCCTTTTGATATACAGGAGCAGCCATGGGCAAGTTTCTGAAACCAGGCAGAGTGGTTCTCGTTCTCTCGGGGCGTTTTGCCGGCCGCAAGGCTCTCATTGTCAAGGTAAACAAATGATATATTTTCTGTTTTTGAAACTGGTAGACATAGCTTTAATATTTGGCAAGTCACACTTTGACCGCTTCGTGTTTGGTCATAAGTCCTGCCACGTTTGGTTTGTATACATTTCACAAAGTGTTTGTGACTGAGCATCTGTGGTCACCAGACCACCAATCACAATCTAATTGGTCAGTGTGCACTGTTTTATTACATTGAATTTTATAAATCTGAATCAAGAACTTTAAATTTGCAATCTCTTAAAACATAAATATATTCCATCATACAGAACTGTGTCTTTTATTCAATTTTGTCATAAAAATGTGTATAGAAATTACACATGTTGCCTGAACTTTAAAGTTTTTGTTATCTCATAATTTGAATTTTATCACTTAATCCTTCCCCCAGAGGAAATAGGGTGGGGAACCTACATGTATATTATTTAAAAGCTGAGAACCTCTTGAATTTGAATTGCCAAACCACCCAACCCCCCCCCCCCCCCCAAAAAAAACAAATTTCAACTTTGTCTAGTTTATGTAGGAGCAGTTTCCACATTCTATGATTTTCATCATTTCAATTACCTTGTGTCATTTATTCCCTTAGAACCACGATGATGGCAGCACAGACAGGACCTACGGCCACGCCCTGGTGGCGGGCGTCGCCCGGTACCCACGCAAGGTGACCAAGCGCATGAGCAAGAAGCGCATCAAGCAGCGCTCCAAGCTGAAGTCCTTCGTCAAGGTGTTCAACTACAACCACCTCATGCCAACCCGGTCAGTCAAGTCCTTTCAAACTGGGTTTTTAGTTCCAAGGCCTGAAAAAAATGTGTTGACAGGCTGCAAGTCTAGGCTAAATCATTTGAGGATTTTTTAACATGCAGTTTGAATTCCGCTATTCTGCTTTTACTTTGGAAACTGGATATTCAAAACACCCTTAAAAAATTTGAGCTTCCATATTTTTTGTGACACAAGCTAAAGAAACCTACTGAAACATACCCCAATTTGATTCATGGTCCCTGATTGTAACTGCATTCACTTGCTAGGGGTCTTGTTGGTTTATGAATAGCCTTCCCTTTTGATTTATCTGAGAGTTCCCGTCCATCTGTGAGTGGTTTTCTGAAGGCCCAGTGGTCATTGAATCCTGCAAACTATACCCAGTCATTGGGAGGGCATTGCATGTGGCACCTCACTTGTCACTTTTTGTTGACATGACTGTGAGGTGAATGGGAACTTCCAGTAAAATGAGGAAAAAAAGATATAACTGGATTTTGAAATCTCAGATTTCTCCCACCACTAAAGTCATTTGACATTTGGTTATTTGTTTTTTACATTTGCAGGTACTCCGTCGATGTGAACATCGACAAGCAGGTCGTCAACAAAGATGCCTTCCGGGACCCAACGCTCAGGCGCAAGGCCAAGAGAGAGGTCAAGACCAAGTTCATGGAAAGGTCAGTTATAGTTCTCCCTACAAGGACTCTGAGGGTGCTGTCCTAATCAGAAGAGTCATGTGTGGGCATTGCGAGGGCATGCATTTCATTGTGTATTTAAATTCATTGAGTAATTAAATTTGTCCAATTTCTTGAGTTTGTGACAGTGACCGTTACCCGCACTTGTTTTATGTAATATATAATAATAGCTTTATTTATTGATACCATGTCACCTCAGGGATGATTTTCAAAGGGCCATCATTAAAAAATCACTAAAATCAATAATATTTTTTTTGGGGGGGGGGGGGGGCTTGTCGGAATTAAATGGGCTTGTGTTGTATTTCAGCTGCTCATGTGCACCTCACAATTTGTTGATTTTTTTTTTTACGTAGGATAACACAACAGATGATTTGATTTTCTGGATTAGGTCTTATAAAGTGCAGAAAAGTCTGGTATCTATTCAGGTATATGCATGACACCAGCGCCCAACAGAAGTGGTGTATGTGCGCCAAATTTTGCTTCGGTTTTCTGTTCATGGCATTTTTTTTGTCTTTTCTTTCCTGTATTTTTCTCTGACGTGCAGATACAAGACTGGCAAGAACAAGTGGTTTTTCACCAAACTGAGGTTCTGAGCACCGAGGAAGCATGTCCTGTTTTGGCCGTCTGTAAAATATGTTTAAGTATGCTGGTTTTGAGATGAAGAGTCAGTGATATTAAAATAAGGGCACCATTGAAAAAGTGCAAACAAATGGTATGGTCTTCACGTGTCTCTCATTTGTGCTGTGTGTAAATTTGTGAACTTCAATAAAGAAATTTACAAGTCAGATGACAATTAGGATCGACTGGACAGAAAGTCTACGCGACCATTCACTCCAGACCTGTCTATTTTACTCGAGCAAAGGAATTATTTTGCCTTCTCGGGATGATATAAACATGCCAGTTATCTAGAATGTTTAGACAAAAGTGCTGGTACTGGGATCTGAAGTATGGGTTTATGGACTCTGACTAGCATCCTTGAACAAGGACAGTTCAGTTGGTAAAGCACCGTACGGTAATCGAAAGGTCGTAGGTCCCAATACCTCCCCAGTCAATGTCCTTGTTCAAAATGGAAATTAATTATAAAGTCAAAAACTAACACATCTGCAGAGAATGATGATTACAACGTGAAACTGTTATCACTTTGCCCCAAATAATACATGAAGTTTATTTGAAAATGTGAAACAAAAACAAAAGCTGGTTACTGCTTAACCCACTGCAGAGAAGGCGTATACACGTACACGAAGTACAGACTTTCTGCGCTTAAGTCTAGTTTTGTGCATATGGGTTTTACATCAAAGACTGGGGCTTGGGATACAGGGATCTACACTATTTACACGTTAATATGGCTGTTCCATTGAGTCACATTTCATTCATGCAATTTACATAATTTTACAAGCTTGTTGACAATCACATGAAGCTACAGTTACTGTTTGATTGATTCATTGCTAACCACTTATGCACAACTTGACATTTGGAAGATCAGTAGTAATCAATTCTGAAAATAAATTATTAAGCCCTGAACAAAAATCAATTATGTAAAAATTGCATGACCAGAAATGACAAAATTTATACCATTAAAATACCATTTTGCAGTTTTGTCTTCTGATAAAATTCAAATTGTTGTGAGCTTTGTTTCAAACATTAAAAAAAAAAAAATGAAATAGCAAAATGCAAAATGAAATAAAATTTCAAATCAAAGAAACTTAAACCAGTAACTAAGGGCTCGTCTCAATTCATATGCAGTATGAGTTCCGGACAAGTTGCGGACATTGTATCGGGTAGAAGTTGCAGGGTTCTGAACAACTTCCCCGCAATCTTCCCGCAATGAAGTTATCAGTATGGATGAGTCAAGCAGTTGCTAATGAAAATTTCCTCGGAACATGTCCAGGACAAGTACAGAGCATCTTCCGGACAAAGTGAATGACTCTACCTGCAACTTGTCTGGAACTCGTCCCAGATATGAATCGAGACGGGCCCCAAGATAATTTATCAAATATTCAAATGATGGACCCAATGTTTTCCTAAATACATGATAAGGAAAATAACAGCAAAATGGCAACACTTGGCTTGTACATTTCAGATTGTGCTCATATTATGACTTCTTCAATGAGTTCACTAACAATGGCATATTGTTGGTGCTGCAGCAGCTGTAACACTGCGGCCTCTGCCTTAAATGACATCACGGTTTTGCTCATGAATATGCAAACTCGTATGGACAAAAAGTGGAGAAAATTGAAAACAAGGATGCATTTCACGAACAAAAATTATTTTATATAGACTCTTTAAAACCAGTGACAAAAAGGTTTTGAAATCATCCAGAGTGAACAGTTAGACAATATGAGCACAATCTTTATACTGCAATAAATAGTCAAATATCTCTTGATAGACTTTTACTTCTGGAATTTCTTCATACGTTCTTCCAGAGACTGACAGTTGGCCTGGATGCAGGCCATGTTGGCTGCAAAGGACCCCTGCAGCTGTGGGAGAAAGAAACAGAAACGAAAAAGAGATGTGAAGTTGTCAGATTAACAGAATAGCACCTCATTTCGGAATATGTAGTAAGCTGTAATGGTATTTGATGGGAATGAAAATTCTATTTTTGCCGTCCGCATGAAGACTTGACTTTACTGTTTACACATGTTTAATCAAAGTACATGACACAAGTGACGCCAGCCTAATGCACATGTGGTGTAGATGCTACGTAACAAACATGAAGCGGCAAGCCTTGGCGAGCTAGTCCCACACCAGTGTAAGGCTGCATCGGAATCAGCTGTCTAGAGCTAGGTCTTGGTCTGTGCCCATTGAAAATACGTGGGGACGCGCTGACAATAGACGTAGCCGTAGCTCTGGAAGCACGTTTCGGACACGGCCTGAGCCACAAGTGGCATTCAGTTCACAAGTGACAGTCGGTCAGTAAAGTACAACAAAAGAGGAAACAAGGCTGGTAGTGCGGCATGCAACATACCTCTTTCAACAGGGTGTCTTGGCCATTCAGGTTTGTAGTCAGGTGCTGTTGAGCAGTGTCCAGATGACTAAGGGCTTGACTGAACTGTAGGGCTATTTGGGAAAATAAAGAAGTCAATCACAAAGCAAATCGCACGAGAGTAAAACAGTCGAGTTTGTCAAGAGCCAATATAGGCCACCAGGCCATGTTTATCTCTGGATTGAAAGGACTGAGAATATTTGTATCTGTCCCTGGATGGGGTGTCAGTCCATCGCAGGTTACTCCCCAGCTAATGCCGGTACCCATACTCCTGGGTGGAGAGAGGCAAGTGGGGGTGAAGTGGCTTGCCGAAGGACATAACATATGGCTAGCAGCTGGATTCGAACCCCTGACCGTCTGATCATGAGTTGCGTACCCTCGTCGCTTGGCCACACTCCCCCAAGGTTAAACTGGGTAAACAAAAGAATGATTCATTTTGATTTTGATTAAGGTGTGATTGACATGTTGACTGTTGTTCATCAATGATGTCTAGGTACGTACCTTGCTCATGCAGATCTTTCAGGGCTTGTAGTCGTTCTACGACAGCAGGCACTGTGTCTGCAATACCGTCCCACTTCTCCACCATGTCATACAACTCCGAGATCTGTGAACACAACAAAACCGTGCATGAACGAAAATTAACACAATTTAGGAGGATGGAGCCCGGTCACTTTAATGTTGTTGTTTTTCAAAGTTGTAGCGAAGTTCATTACATCTTGACCAATTACCTTTAATAATCTCCTGGTCTTCTAAACCTCCAAACTTTTCGGGGGTTGGGGTGGGGGGATGGGTGTGTTTGGAGGGGGTTGTTCCACTAACCTTACTCTCCTTGCCTGCATCCTCTGCCGTCTTCTTCTTCTCCTTGACCTGACTGAGATGCTGTAGGAGTCCCTGGATGCGGGCATCAGCGTGATCCAGCTGGATGGGATCCAGCAGGCTGATCTGAGCCTGCAACTGGGTTACTGCTTCCTGTGAAGAGAAGAGAATGGTTGGATTTGTTTCATCAAAGTTTAGAAATCTAGGGTCACAGAGTAGAGCCTGTCAAACAAATAAGAGAGATCAGTATTCAACAGTGTGTGCAAAAGTAATTAATCTTGAATAACACAACCATTTTAACAACCCTGACTTACCGTAAGACACTTGGAGCTTGTGTCTGCTGTCAGGAAAGACTGGGAAAGAAAACAAGAAGTTATTACAAATGATGACAATACCATGTACAGTGAAAACTTGTCAAGTCAAACTCAACACAACTGTTTAGTCAAACAAAGAATCCATTGTCTTCAGTAATATAACAATGATACACAACCCTGCTTAACTCAAAATTCTGCGTAAGTCAAATTTTGAAACTGTAGGCTTTGAAATGGCGAGCTTGGTGGCGAACAATGCTAAGACATTTGTCTAAAAAGAAGGAAGTTATGGGTTGAAGTCCCACATAAAGTAAGCTTTACAAATACCGGAGTTATGACAAATTTAAGTATGACAGAATGATCAAAACAGAGATATAGTCTGTCCAAATGGACAAAACAAAAGTGACGGTCACAGGAAAAAAGAAAATAAACAAAATCCAGTCAATCATGAAAAATACAATCTGCTGAAGTGTAACTCAACTTACAAGTTTTTGCGGGTCTTGCCCAATGACGGCCTCTAGTCTTGCTAGTCTTTGTTCCAACTCTGATGCCTATCAAAAACGAAATAATAAACTTTACTTCTACAAAAAAATGAAAGTTTGGTTTTTGTCAATGTTGTAAAGAAACAGAAAAGAAAACAATGTTCAATTTATGAGCAACTGTACGTTGCTTTGAACCCCGATTGATTATGGTATTTGTGTTCTTGAGCAAGGTACTTTACTACAATTGTCTCTCCATTCAGGAGTATAAATATGTATCAGTGAGGGGAGCAACCAGTGTGCTTATCTAGAGTTCTTACAGAACACCAGTTTTTTTCCCAGATGACCAGAGAAGATGGGGAGGAGGGGTTCAGGAGCTAGAAAAGGGCGATACTGGGAAAGGATGATTTGAAATCATAATTATCACATGATTCTGTCACATAAAGATTATGTCTACCTTGGAGAGTTGGGCAAACTTGGCCTGTTCTGGGTTGTAGTGCAGCTCGTATGTGATGCAGCCGTCTTGGGCCTTCTGGTCCGACTTGGCAGGGGATTTCCCTGACGATTGCACACTGAGATTCTTGTAAGCCTCCAGCTGGCTGACTAACTTCCTGCAATATTGTAAAAACATTGTGATGCATTACTGCTATACTATAAAGCACAACAGGTGTATGTGTATATATGTGAATGCATGTATATTCACAATTTGATCGTTCATGAGTTGATCGTCCGCGACGATTTACACAGTGGGTCAGATTTAGCCAATTCCTTGGTGTTAAGAGTAATCCTACATGATAGCACTGCCCAGCTCTCTCCCCCAGTCCAAATGTAGTCTAAGTTACAAGTGACGGGGAGTCAGTCGGGGAGTCAGAGAGTCGGGGAGCCAGTCAGTCTGTTAGTCAGTCAGTCTGTCAGTCAAATAGGTACAAATACGACATTAGGCCGAGTAAAAAAAAAAAAGTTTCTCGTCCGGGTTTTTTTTTAAAAAGGAGGAAGCGGGGCTTTTTATTTTTTCAAGGTGACCGCCTTTTCAAAATTTCCTGCAACCGTTGGTGTTCCACTGTTCAAAGAAACACTTTTAAAGATAAAAGACAAGTTGGACAAGAGAACTGAACATATTTACAGTGTCATTTAGAGTGTTTTTCTACTACATTTTTCAAAAATAAAAAATAATAAAAAAATCTAGGCGGCCTCAAAAAAGGAAGCGGGCGGGGACGAGAAACTTGTTTTGTTTTTTACTTCGCCTTAGGCTTGCCCTCTGGGACCAGCAAACTACTATAACACAGCAATAGTCCATTATCTTACTTTGGTAGCGTTCCCTGTGGGTCAGCTGCTTCTATCATAGCATCTGAGCCCAGAATCTTCTCCAGGTGTAGGCCATATAGCTGCTCCTGTAGCACACCCACCTGCTGGATCAAGGAGATTGACGTCACACTCGGCGATTTGGAGTCCTCCGCTGTTTGCTGGTAGAGAAGACAGTTAACAGTGACAGTGAGAGATTTGGGTAGGAAAGGAATTGTAGTGGTTTCTTGTTTGAGAGTCCATGATAGTTTGTAAAGGCTTTTCTCTAAAACCTCACTTGCATGGACCTTTTTAGGGATACCCCCAGACAGGATATGTGCAGCAAAGGTACTGCACAAAATTCTGCACAAGATCCCAGTTCGTAAAGCAAACTGTCTCAGGATGAAACGTGCAGGATACCTTCACTGCACACTTCCAATCTACCCGTGAAAGGGTCGAAGACTCACTTTGAGTTGTTCCACTTCGTCTGAAAGCTCTCTGATCTCATGCTGAAGACGCTGGAATTTTTGCACCGGAGTCTCCTTGACTTCGGTCCCTTCCTCCAGCTAATGAAATGGGGGAAAAAAATGCCAAAAAAAAAGATAAATAAATAATACTCAATGAGCCAGGGTTAACGATGTCCAATTTACTGCAAGAACACAAGCATTCTTTCTCTCTGTACCTCTTTTCACAGAAATTTTAGGTTATTTTTTCAAGTGAGGGTCAGGCTATACTTCTGAAAATTGATACTTACAATTTCATACTCTGTTCTGGGCACGTAATAACCTGTTCTTCTGGAGTGGCTCACTCGATCAGAAAAATCTGGAACAAATCACAGGTTTTCCTCAGTAAATTTTTTTTTTTTTTATAACTGATAGGCCTACCAATAATTACCCCTTAACTTAATAGCTTCGAATACAATGACCAGTGCATTAACAGCAAACCATACTGCTTAAGGACACAAGTACAACAGTTTATCTTACCTATTTTTCCACTCACTAACTTCTTGTCCTTGAATTTGCCGAAGGCCGTGTTTGGGTCCACACTTAGCTGCTCGACACTCTCACTTTTAAGCTCCTCCTTGACAGAGAAAGTAGAACATCGAAGACATTAAAACAAGTGTTGTCGGCACTGAATTGAATCACACAAATCAATTAAACATCAACTAATAAAATGAGCAAAGCCTTGGTTTTTTTTACCACTTCTTGTTGTTGGTCATCCTCTGGCAGGTCAGTGGTCTCATATACGTCTGGTTGGGTATCCTGTAAGTTACAAGTGAATATGTGTCAACAAATGATAAATTTATAATAATAGTACAATGTAATAAAATACAAACACCAACAACTTTTTGTGGTTATTAAGTTACGGGCATCTTTCCAATAGGAGAATGAAAAATCCACTTATAAAATTATAGGGCATTGGACTCACCTAGACTCAGAACTAAGAAAAGATTGATAAAGATTGTTAAGTCATTTTGAAATGATTAAAAATAGTTTTTAAGTTGAGTCTGATTAGGAAAATGAAAAACGGGTCCATAAGTACTAACTAGTCTACACAATCATCAGTAATTCTTCTTCTTCTTCTAGGAAAACAGTTACAAGTTACTGCTTGAACTAGAAGAACCTGCAATATTATGAGCAAACATCATTCCCAAAAACCAACATTTCCAAACAAAAGTCAACATTCAAAATTTCAAAAATTAAATAAAAAAGCCAAAACTTTCACTGTTTCACTTAGTTTTAGCATTTTAATTTTTATTGTGTAAAAATTTATTGGAATATGATCTTACATGTCTAAATTTCCTTATATTAAAATTATACGAGGCCATAATACTAGACGCATGATGACATGCACAACGTACCAAATGTGCATTGACTGTGTACAACTACACGTAAACATGTACTGTACATGTAATGTACATGTACACACACGCACGTACGTACACACATAGGCCCTATTCACATACATGTGCAACCTATCCTACGTGTTGCGGCGTTGCGGCCGCGCCCGCAAGAAAATAAACTTGCAATTTTTAAGCACAAAAAATATATATAAACTCCAAACTTTACTTCTATACATGGGTATTGTCAAGAAATACTTGCTGATAACACACAATTCGTACTGAGCTCTTTACATCGTAATTTTGAAGCCGGTTTACTTACGATCCCCGGTAAATTTGCGTATTTGGGGTCCGCCATCTTTAATTTATTTGACCACGTGATCTAAAGCAAAACGAGATCTCAAATGATCATGGAAATTTCCCTAAAGTCTAAGTTCAGTTACATCATTTATAAAAACTCTCAATAGATATTGATTATTGAAAGTTTTATTTTAGAAATACATTCAGTTTGAGGCACTAAAACAGGGTGGCAATTAAAAATCCAAAGTCCTACTTTCAAAGTATCGCGAGAATTGTTAAACAGCACATGATGTCATAGATTTTGCTGGACGAAGTAGGTGGATACTTTTCGTGTAAAAATGGGCAAAACTTCACCATGTAAATAGTACATTTTATCCACAAAACTGCCACATTTTGACGCCGATTCTCTGCCATGTTGCCATTTGTATATTTAGGGTGCACTTAGATCCTCCTGTTGTTTCGATCGTGGTAATTTGGTGGCGTAAGTCCATGTTTTCTCGTCTGATGATTTTACATCCAAAGTCGCCGGCTGTGCTGTGTGCATTCTCCAAAGTCCATGCATAAACACAGGCTCACAGCACTAGCACTATAGCAGACAATCACCATCACTGAGTCTGTGTGAAATGTTAATGTTGGACTGAAGATTCGTCAAATAAAACTGTAGAAAACACATTCCTTGATCTCGATTAAACGGGGAATTGGACTGATTAACCATGGCTGATGCTGATGAGTGCAATATTAAAGTGGTGTGTCGGGTGCGGCCAATGAACAGCGCCGAGTTGGCATCAAAGTCAGTCGTTGCCACAAAATTCCAAAATGACGACACTGTATCGATGGGGGTAAGTATAGATACACAGGGTGCAATCGGTAGATTTGCGCTATCACTCGATTGTGCAGAAATGCGCATGCACGATCAGTTTACCCTGTCGGAAATGTCACACTTAACTTCCCTTTTTGAGTTGTTCATGTTTTTCATGTTTTAAAAAAAAACAATCCTCCAGAGCCGTGAACATGGTGAGTACCTAGAAAAGGCGATTGACTGATGACACTGCGATAAATTGATGGCAGCGTGATTGACAGATACTAGCAAAGCACAATCAACTGACAGTGCAGGTCCACTGATTGCGCCCATCAATTATATTTTTGAGATGAAAATGAATTACAGTTTAATTGTTAATGATTTACATTTTTCCAGTTAAGCACCCGTCAAATGTCCCCTGACCACTCCACCCAGACTGTCCCAACTTTGGAAGAGTTCTTTAACTATACATGTACATGTAGTTAGGAGACTAGGGACAGAATACATCCAGATGCCACTTCAGGTAGTTGAGCGGTTATGTACAAAGACTGTCAAAGTCTGTGGAGTGTCAAGAAAATGTTTCTCAGTCCCACTCCCAGAGTCGTGTCTTTTGAACGCTTTTGCAACGACTGACATTTATTGCGATGATATATGATATGAAGAAAAATGGATACTGCATTCTTTCTGGGAGTTGTCCGACATGTACCACAACTGACATTGGAGTCGTCCCAACTGTAGTTGGGGTAGTACTGTAGTTGGGGTGGAACAGCAACGTCACTGGTACTTTGCCACCATCCTGTCATCAATGGACTGTTCCGAAACATGAAATAAAGTTGTTGAACAAAATCGTTGGAAATTTATTATTTTTGACTTGTTTTGACTTTTTGACTCGAGGGTATTTATGAATGGGAATAAATATGTGGTGTATTAAGCAACTACATGTACAACTGTATGTTTACGACCGGCTCAGTGGCCTGGTCACCGATATAATGTCCCACACCTTCGGCTCTGGTCATTTTCGGCATCAAGTCTCCTGAGCCGGTCTTAAACGTACTCATTTAAAACCGGCCAAGCCAACATTTATTCCCTTATTATTGTTGAAATAAGTTTTTTAAATCCTCCAAATTTGTGACTTTTAGATATGGGCATACAACTTTTCCTCTGATCAGCTTATTTCCTCACTTTTCACATCACAATTAATGACATAAAAGAAATGAAACACACTGTATAAAGTCTTGTAAAGCCTGGATTTCCCTCTCTTTTTCTTACTTCCCAGTTGAATGCCTGTAGATAAAATCATTTGCATTTTGTGTGATAATGCATTGAAAAAGTTGGAAAAAATGATGCAACCTGACGCCACATTTTTCTTCATATATCATCTCAATGAAGGTCAGTCATTGCAAAAATGATGAAAATAGGACTGGCAGGCTTTCGAGTCACAGTGTTTTACTATATAGCTGGCCAGCTTGGATTGGGTTGTTTTTGTTTAATTTTTGTGGATTGCTTGGTTGTTTTTTTGTAATTTGGCCGAATAAATAATAATAATGATAAGACATGAATCTGGGACTGAGAAACATTTCCAATTTTGTTAGGAAATGCATGTACTTGACTTTCCATAGACTTTGTAAACAACCACTAAAGTGGCGTCAGGTTGCAACATTTTTTTCCGAAAAAAAATTCTGTATTCTTTGAAAGTCATATTTCCTGCTTGCAAGTCAAGGAAATGTGTATGATTGCAGATTTCTGGATTCTATCAAGTTATACATAAAATATAAGGAATACATTTGTAACAGTAAGAATGTACTGTACTGGGCCCAATTACAAGGCTGTGCTTACTGCAATCAAAAAATCTCTGCTTTTTTCAGTGAATATTTCTGAGCTGAGATAATAGCGTAGCAAGCATTTTATTAAAATTTATTTCAAGGAATGATTTAATGCAAACAGTGCAGGTGAAATGATGACATAATCTATTGTGTGGTATCTGTATACGTCTCCCCCCCCCCCCCCCCCATTTGAACAATTTATTTCAAAACGTCATTGCACTTGTGCAGGATCCTGCAAGGCTTGAGGAAAAGCATGAAAAGTAAAGTCTGTCACAAGCCAATATGGCCCATCAGGCCGTTGTTTATCTCCAGTTTCCTTGGCATGAAACGACTGAGAATATTTCTATTCCCCCTGGATGGGATGCCTGTCCATTGCAGATTACTCCCCAGCTAATGCCAGGTTCCTGTTTATACTCCTGGGTGGAGAGAGGCAAGTTGGAGTGAAGTGGCTTGCCCAAGGACACAACATGTGGCCAGTAGCTGGATTCGAACCCCTGACCCTCTGATCACGGCTCACGAAGCCTAACCACTTTATTTTCAAAATTTACATGGGTGAATAAAAGCAATGATTTTAAATGTCTTAGATTATTTATTCTATTTATTGTTTGTTTGGTTTTCTCTTTAGGGGAGAGTCTTTGTCTTTGACAGGGTATTTCGGCCAATATCAACACAGGAGGAAGTCTACAACAAATGTGCCAAGGCCATAGTCAAAGGTACGATCATTTCTATGGAATTCAATAGTAGACTGTGGATTGGAACCAGGTATCCGAGTGCCCGACCAGATTTTGGGATCGGGTACCAGTAATAAACTTCACATATTAATTTGTAAATTGTCAAACAGTGAAAAAGGAGGTTTTCAATGTCACTGTCAGGCTGATGGACAAATAACGATTGATGTCTGCGAAAATGCGATTTACACCTTGTATTGAGCTGCTCTACACTTGTATTTTGCTGTATTGGCGCATCGGTGTGGTATCCTGCAGACCTTTATGAACAATCTGTACAGCAACTTCCGAGATTTAAATTTGGTGTTGGCTTTTAAGTCGGGTTCCCCGATTCGTGTACCTCCATAAATGCGCACTCCATAAAATGTATGATTTTTTCCTCTAGTCTTCTAAAGGTTATTCCTATAATTTAAATGTGGCAATCACTGTTTTTCGTTGTTCTATTTCATTGTTTTCCTGAGGGTATCTTTGTAACTTACATTTATTGCAATCGCCTTTTTTCTTTATTTTATGGAAAGAAATTATTGTAACATTCGCGTACGGTAAGTTCGGTAAACAAAATGACCAGGAAATTAGGTTTGTTTCTTCCTCTGTTTCAGACAAAAATCCATCAGTGTTGGAATACTTACATTGTAGTTTCAGTTAATAACAAAAAACTGTTCATTGCTACACATTCATGACGCTGTTGGTTTAAAGACCAAATTGTGTTTATTGAACAGTACACAATAACCTTTGTTCATGCTATGTAAATACATGTAACCAACACAGATTATTACTGAGTATCGCTGTTGTGGGTTCTTCATGTACATGTACATGTCTGCTTATAACAATGAAGTTGTCATGTGTTATTGTCTCTAACAGCAGCTGCCCCTGCTAGAATCAACTATGCACAATTGTATTGTGTCTGAGGCACAGGGTCACTGCTGAACTAAACAATACAGGAATTCATCCTTTTGTATTCATCTACATAATGTACATGTACATGTAGGTTAATTCTAGGGTGAGGTTCGCCATGTACCGGTAGACTAGGTCCATTAGCGATTGCTATGCAAAGACAAGTGCGAGTGCACAGTAAGCTCTGGTCCTCTTGCATGAAAGTCTTGCGTGAAATCTATCAAAATGATCCCTGCCAGAGCTTAAAAATGCGACACCTGAAAATGCGAAGCCAATGGCGCATATGGAACACCATACTTAAGGTTTATTCCTAGATTGACATCCGAATTGTTCCAAACAATTTTTGTTAAATATTTAAATTATTTTGATTTTTTTTTTTTTTTTTTTTGAAAATTAAAATTTGGTAGTTATATTTTATAAAAAACTTAGGGGGTTTATTTTGGTCAATTTTTTTTGGGACAGACAGACAGACAGACCGACCACCAAGTGACATGTAGAACTCCTGCCAGAGCTTAAAGAATTTGAATCAAAATTATCAAATAAACCATCAAGGGAATCTGACAGGTGTATACACACAGTGTTCTCCAACTTTGAAAGTTAAAGGTTGGTGCTCCGTTGAAAAAGGGGGAGGGGAATTTTTTTTTTATGCTAGGGGGCACTATTTGCAAATATTGAATTTACCTGTTATTTTCTTAAGACATACATGTGAAACATCTTGTTACTCACTTTATTGGAAAAGTAAATTCAAGATACGTATTATGCAGGCCTATTTATTTTCAAAGCAATAATATTGGTGAATTTTCATCTGCATAAAACATGAAAAATAATTCTTACCAAAATTTGAAGATCATATACCGGTAGGTCACAACATGGTCACAACTACTAACATCACTACATGTGGCAGATACTGTAAATCCCTTATTTGCATACAACTGTTACTCTGTCTGGCTGTCATTCCTTGGTGGTGGGATTAAGGGATTAGGCGCATTAAGGATCATCATTATCACCAGATTATCCCTTTTCAATTGTAATCCAATTAAATTCATCTAGGCTTCCTAGGGCAAGGGCAGATCCAAGAGGGTGGTTGAGGTGGCTTCACCCCCCTCCCCCCTCAACGCCCCTACCCATCCCTACCCCTCCCCCCTCCCCCCCCCCCCCCCCCCCCCCCCCCCCCGACTATGTTAATTTGGTTAATTAATTAATGCATAACATTCCAGAGTTCTCTGAGTGCTGCCATTTTCCTTATTACAAATCTTGATTCATTACTTTTGGCCTTATGTCTTTTTATGCATTGGGTGCAAGTGAAACATGTTTCGCTTTCACACACAATTTATATTTTAATTAGGTTTCATATTCGTATCCACATTGCATTGTATGCGTAACCACGAGAATTATAAAATAGAAAATTTTAGAACATAATTGTTGGAATGAGTTCTGTAGGGCAGTAAAAATAATTTTAAGATTTTGCACAAGACAAAATTACATGTAGTCACGATCAATAAAACATGTGAACATGTACATTTAATAAATGAGAAATCTGCAAGTCCATATAAGTTGGTTGCATTCATGCATTTTCCAATCCTTCAATGTATAGCAATTAACATCCTCTTTTTTCCCATTTTTTGGGGTACGTGTATGTCAGTGGTCTTGTTGATGTCATTTCTGTCATAATTTGATTTTCTTTAGGCCAAGCCCTCTTGCCTTCATAAATTGATCTGCAAAAGCAGACAGTGTTTCAGGCGAGTTTCATATCGTATCGTTGTCGCGGGCCCCTGCCTTTTTTCTGAGACCTTCCGTTATTCATATCAGGCAGGCGTCAACCGTAGTCTGCCCACGGCAATAAAATGTTGCTGCCCGACAATTGATGATGAAGTGAATTTTAATGACAAGAAAAGTCTGTGATTTTTCTGATATTTTACTCTGGAAATAACTGGATGGTTTTTTGAAGTCTAAGGTGTAAAAGCTAGAAAGGAACATTGTAAAAGAACCCCATTATCTCTTATTTGTAGTGAAACTCCATAGAGATTTTGTTAGTGTTTGACAAACGGATTAGCTTGTAATCGAATAATCCAAATGTTATTTTATGGAACACAATTTGGACAAAAATACACACTGCTCCTATCCAAAACAAAATACCACAGGTATGGAGTACAAAATGTACAAAATGTTGGTTACATTATTTGTTTGGTTACATTATTTGTTTGGAAAATACAATGTAGCCTGAAAAGTTGAACCAAATTTTACCCCTCTGTGTCCATGTATGTGCTTAAATGTATGTAAATGTACAGTATGTGTACGTGCTTCCCCGACACAGACGTAACAAGAGGTCACGTACTGGCTGAGGAGGTCGTATTTTAATTAAGCGCACCAAGGATGAGTCATCTTCGTTGGCTCATCTTGCTATGGGAGAAGTTGGAGGAGCTGGCTGTATGTGTGTGTGTGTGTGGGAATGCATGTACTTAAATCAGATTCATAAGATGCATCCTAATGCGTAGTCGGTAGTGGGGTCTGAATCATGTACATGTCATACATGTGCATATACATGTACATACATACATGTATTTCTGCAAAACGTGCATGTGCGTACAAAATGTATGTGCATGTTTGTTACGTTTGTACACGTACACATCTACGTGTAGTACATGTGAGTTGCGACTTTACATGTACTAGCATGCTGGTACATGTACATGTACATACACTGGTGCACATATCATACATGTATTGTGGGGAACTGTACCAAATTTAATCCATTCCTACTGAACTATTCCATTGAGCAACTGGCAAATTAAAACTCTCCTATTTTCTTAATTTGGACTGCGGTTGGTGCTTTTTCTGTCCGGAAAAAAAAACGGAAGAAAAATTGCATCAACAACAGACATTATGGTCATATCAATGCCAAGGTCCCTGGAAAGGTTAGCATAATATAAAGCCTTGCGCTGTAATAGTTTGTTTATTTTCCATTGCAGCCTGCTGGTTTTTCTGTCATAATTTGCACCATTGTATTAATCATGGTTATACTGCCACAAGGAACTATGTTATCCACAGCAGAGCCGTTAATGACTTTTCAAAACTTATATTGTAATTGGTGGAGTACAAAGTGCACAGCAATAGTCCATTAAAAGTATCTGTAGATCATTTGTCATTTGTGCATTTTTTTTCCGTTTAAAGCAGCAAAAGTGCTAAAAATGTAACGAGGGTGTTTAACAACTAACCTGATAAAGTTTTACAATGTAGTTCTGTGAATGCTGTATATTCCAAAAAAAAATACTAATATTCTCAATTTCAATTCAAAAGTTGCCAGGTCATGTTTTGAATTGCACTTGAAATCAGCGTCTGGGACACGTTATCATTCAGCATGTTCAGCCGATTGTAGCTACATGATGACATGCACTGAAATGATGAATTAAAGCAACCGCGTGGGCGTTTGTGTCATGTTAACGCTTGCACGCACCCATTCACGGCTTTGCAAACCCATTCACAAACTACTAACCAAAATTTCCAAAAATGCATCTTAAACGCATTTTTGGAAATGACCTTCTTTTACAATGTTTTGTATTATAGTTTTCTTCAAAATAACAGCATGCCAGAAAGAATAATTTCACAGGGAGTTTAGGCCCATTACTATCTTTAAGTTTAAACCAAGTATGCTTTTTAACAATAATTTTGCCAGTTACTTTTTGGATAGCTGCAATTGATAGTCTACCTTTAAATACCATAATGTCAATATGAAGTATAATATCAAAACTTAGCCTGTCTGCAAGTGCAAATCCACCATTTGCCCCTTTAAAACTTTACTGACTCATACGTAATGCCAGAAACCGCTAGTTTACCATTTTATGTGCACTGTACGTACAGTATGTCCAATGAACGTGTGACTATGCATGTAGTCAGTTAATAATTCATGATGGTTTATTCTCTCTTCTAAATGGCGTCATGGCGTGGTGATTCACACTCATCGTTATATCTTAATCATCAACAGGTTCTGGCTGCGTCTCCAACCAATGTCAAGTTGAAATTTCAAAAGGCATCCTTGAGCAGCATGTTAGTCTCAGCCTTGCCATTTCCCAGTGAATTAAGTCTGTCGTTAATATTCAACTTCAAGGAAAACAGATCTACCGGTATCTTCGGGTTGAATAATATCTTAAACTGCTCCTTTGATACATTCTGTAAAATGTTTTGGTTAGTACTCTAATTTTACACACACACTAATACACAGGTCTGTACATACACATGTATGAACCATTGTATATATATATATATGTTACTGTGAAGCAATACATGTAATTTCTCCATGATGTTACTGCCGGTTCGTGCTTTTGCCAAATTGAAAAGAAATTTTTTTACAGAATGTTCTTTATTAAAGAGGAGAGGTAACCAGTCACAGAACCTGGTTTTTGAACACAATGTGTACAAATGTAAGTCTGATTTGTTGAAGGGCAGTTTCGTAAAATCCAACAATAGGGCCTAAGCGGGTGGCATGGGTGGCTAGTGTGTAAAGCGCTTGTCTGTCACCACTGTGGCCCAGGTTCGATTCCCGGCTGGGACCATGTGTGAGTAGAGTGATTCTCTCCTGTGCCAGGAGGCTTTTTCTTCCAGGCTCTCCGGTTTTCCTCCCTCTGTAAAAATCTAACACTTTCTATCTCTGGCCATGCTGGCTGTGCTCCACGGTCGTACATGGGTCGTATGGCGGCTGATAAAGGCGCCTTTACTGGGGGGTACATGCCTTCAGCTCAACCACGTCGTTGTACGTCCTTCGCAATTGAGCTCCTCGGCTGCGAGTAAGGATGATTAGTCCCCCAAATTTTTATTATAATTAGTAGTAAAACAATTGAACAAAATATCTCGCTTTGCTGTGCGCCCCAGTGTCCCCCTCTCAAATCCCAAATTTCCAGTCAATTGAACCCTGTGAGTGTGGAAATGCCCAGATTTAAACCAACATGCATGCGTTAGTCAATACATACAATGTACGGTGCATGAAAATGTCAGTGCTCTGTTTCTTATCAACACATTATTTCTTCATTCCCAAACAATAAATAATGGATCAGATGATGCACTTAACAAAATGTAGACTGTAGGCATGTAAATGCTGGCTACATGTACATATGGCTTTAGATTTCTTTTCCCCCATTATGGGCAGATAATTTTATTTGCCTGCCGCCGGTAAAACACTGAGGCAACTGACAAGGAAGGGGCGCAGGGTGAATCTGAGTCACGGGGGACCTCGCTTAGTCAAAACAGAATACTTGAAGCAATGTTTCAAACTGGATGTGTGGTGAATCTTCATTATCATCTGCACACTGCCATATGCTGAGAACATTGTGTATTTTAATATGTATTATCCATGCTTGAAAAAATGTAATACCGGTACATGTTGGTGTGCATTGCTCAAATCTTTGAAAAGTAGTATTATCCAATACATTGTTTTGCCAATTTTATTTTCTTCAATAACATTGCCTCTTCATGGCCTGCATACATTCATACATATGTGTACATGTATTTAAAGTTACATACCGGTACTGGTAGGATCATTTCCACTTTGTTCCCTTTTTTTTTTGAAGCAACAAAATTGCTCAAAATCTTTTGTATAACATGTATAAGGGTGCATAAAAAACAAGGACTATGTTGAAGTTTTAGCTCAGTGGCAATACCGTACTCTACGTTTTTGGAAAACAGGATGCAACAACTTTTTGTTCTCCATACTGGATTCTGTTAGGTAAAAAAGTATGTCCATCGGCACACTTGTTAAACCACCTTCAACGATTGTTTTCTTTCGAACAATGCTATTTCAGGCGGAATAATTTCACAGGGTTTTTGGTACCAGTCCTATCTTCACTCTGAGCAAGGTTTTTCTCATTAAATTCTTAGGTGTGTTCCGGGTAAATAACAGTGTTTTGTCTTCTTGCCTTTAAATATTTTTGCGGAAGTGAGATTTTTGCCTCACGTTTTGGACGTTACGCATTCAAATTAATGTACATGTACATAAAGTGAAGTCAATTCTTAGTTCAAGATACGTAACAGATTTCCTTTTTGGATTGTTAAGCCCAGATTTCATATCGAGGTAAGAAAGGCAGAGAGCAAATGAAAACAAGACCCAAACTAATAAAAACATTTCATCCGCAAATGTCACCGACAACCCAAACTATATGTATCTCACAGACGATTGCCTATGGTTCCATGCACTGTCTGCACAGTCAGTGTAAGCTTAACGGCGATATAAACTAGGCTTCAGAAACGTGTTGGTGCAGACATGTCAGAACTGACAGGACATGGATAAATAATGAATCGTTGTACTGACAAATGCCACAAGCACATCTCAATATCTTTCTTTCTCATAGCCAGGCTGTCCGACTGATTAGATCTCTTTTTCCTTCTGAAAAAAAAATCGGCTCCTTGCAAGAAACTGACTGAACAAAAGGTGACATTTCAAGCGGGGGCCTCTGCAAGATTTCAATTTGAGATGAGATATCTTGGAACATTTAATTGTTTGATGTACTGTCACAATGCTAGCTCGTACAATCTTAAAATTAAGGCTGTGTATGTTGTAAAAATGTAGTATTTAATTATTCCGACTTTGGACTTGGTTGAATATTCAAATAGGGGGGGGGTAGTTGTTTTTGAACTGTTGAAATGGACGCTGCGCTGGTTGAAAATTGATATAGATCTTATTAACCCTCCTAAAAATCAATCAAGTGACTATTTTCAACAGTTAAGAGCTCCCAGCCTGCATAAAGCAGGATTGACTGGCTGTGACTGTTTATGTTACTTGATACAGCTGTGCTTTGACTTTAGGTGATTGATAAGCCAGCTGTGCTACCACTTGCCTCTTTTTTGGTCTGTTGACTGAATTTGACTAGTCACAGTGCTTGCAAAAAACATGATCTGACTGTTGGTGACTAGCCTGTGTAAAATGTATGGCAGGGGAAGAGGATTGATATTTTGACTGTCTGAAACTGTTCAGACAGCAGGAGGGTTAAAAAAATGTGAAGACCAGGGAGTGGAATGGCTGATACTTGACCGATTTCAAAGAGGAAATTGAGCTAATATTCCTAATGGATGAACATTGTGTGGAAACTTTAAAAGCATGCGCGAAAATTGGCTTTTAACAAAATTGCAGCAAAGTAGAAATAGTTTCCATTTTGAAAAACATAAAATACCTGACTGGATCAAGACAGGACTTCGTGACTCAATTCAGAATGAGATTATTCAGAATAATTTTCAATATTTTTTAATGACATGAATGACAGCGCAGCATTCTCAATGTGTCATACATGTAACATTGACATGTTTCAAATAGAAGTACATGTATTGTACCGGAATGCACCCAGTCAATCTTACACATGTACATGTATACGTGTGTACATCTTCTGCACTTGAATCGGTTCTAATGGGCCCTAATGCATCGCCACTCAACCACTTTCCCACAATTCTCGGAGGCAAACAACATGCATGTTGCCAGTCATTTAAAATGCACAGACTGTCGTGACGCAAACGTGGACCTTTGCCTGCCCAGTAGTCATCCTGCCTTGTGTGGCTTCTGACGTAATGTGAGGTTGGATAATGTCATGGACTACCTAACATTCACAAAAAACTCGAAGCATAGAGCTTATCATGCCTCATGTTATAACAATGTAAAAACCTATTTGTTCATACTGAGTGTATAATATAACATTGAACATAATGTACGTGTATGTACATGTATGTACACGTACACCTACATAAGTTTACGTGTGAATACATACATTGTACAGAACCAAATTCATCATGTACATGTACATGTACAATGTGTCACAACAGGGGGACTACCAGGAGTTATTCATGTGTTTTCGCGAGATGGGAGAAATTAAACATGCTAAAACAATGAGTGCGATCAAACATCCTTTAGGGTGAAACAAAACATGGCTGCTTCGCAGCAGTAAGCAACTGTTTTATTCTTTTATTCCAATAATTTATTAATAAAAAAATGAAATTTTTGCTTTTAATTTTAATTTTGCAGTTTTATGTTTGAACTGTTTTCCATTTTTTTTGTTTCTCAACAGATGTTCTGGAAGGCTACAATGGAACAATATTTGCATACGGACAGACGTCAAGTGGGAAAACGTTTACTATGGAAGTAAGCAAAATTCAAATGTCATTACATCAAATAAATAGTAGATAAAGCATAACCAATTCAAGCAAACTCACAGAAATAAGCCAGCATTCCCTGAAAACCATGTACATGTACAGTGCATGTTGAAAAGTCATGCGTTTATCCGTGTTTCATTCAAGCATTAGCCAGGGGCCAACATACAGCGCGATGCGTAAAATCTCAAAAACGAATGTGGGGGCAGGGAGGTACTCATACGTGATAATTAATTGGGGGGGGGGGGGGGGAGGGGATACAGGTTATGGCACGCTTGGCTTGACTGAGCTAATAACTGAGCTACCGGTAATGGTGCTTGATGCACTGTCAGTGCCATGGCTACGCATGTTTTATGGTGTGTATGTCTTCTGTCTGTGATCCTAGGGGCTTTCCGCTGAAGGACAATAGGGCCTACTTTTATAGCGCTGCTTAACAGCAGAAAAGTTGTGCTTACCATAGCAGAAAATTGTGCTTCTCCTCAAATTGAGGAGAGGGGGAGGGGCATCTCTCTATGGTCCTTCCCTTGTTATAACGCTGACACAGAGGGCGTTCTTTTCGAATTTGCTGTCAACCCATTGAAAACAATGAGGTCCACCAAAGATTGTTCAAAGTATAGTGGTCATTTGTTACAGTACCGGTGTCACATGAAAATCCGACTCCTCTGAAAATCGGACCCCTTTTTCCCTATTATTGGTTGATCCCCCGCACGTGACAGGTCACTCTCCCGAAACGATCCTAAAAATAGCATGGTATCGTACTCACGCGTGCGCAGTACTACCAATGAGTCCACATTTCATGGAGTCGGATATTCACGCTACACCGGTATTATTCTGGCACTAATGCTCTCTACAGTACAATTTGGGAACAGAAATTTTCATTGTGGCCAAATGTTCAGTGTACCGGTAGCAGTGCTTGTTATTGCGGCATTTTACTGTATTGCTGTGCTCAGAAATCAGAATTTTCACAGATTTTGCATTGTTTTACAGTCAAGAATCCGTGATTTAATATGTACATTATCACAGCCTTCTCTGAAATTACAATTTGAAGTGGGTGATGGGGGAAAAAAATTGGCGCTTTCTTTGCATAAAAGAATCTCAGGCCTTTGTTTCTTATTGTATGAGATATTTTACCTAGTGAATACATTTACTGTAAAATGAATCGTTCTTAAGTATGGACACAGTTCATATTTCTTCTTAAGTGCTCCCTTGACTATCTTTATTATACCGTCTGTCAATACTGGAGACTACAAGCTCAAACTGCGAACAAATTCCCCAAAATAAGACAGAGGAGCTAATTACGTCGGTGGAACGGATTCTTAGTAATCTGTATGTCACAAAGCAATCCTGGCCAGAGCCGTGACGTTGACTTGCGTTGATATTTGACAATCATTCCTCACTCCACCATCTGCTGCTTGTTTGTGATTCAACTATCTTTTCCATAAAGAGATTTTTATTTTTAAAAAATAATTCCAGAATTTGTACATGTACAACATGTACATGAAGGTTGCATAAACTAGGATGATGTAAATCTGATTTGCATGATTTACATTTTCTTCTGGAAGAAGATATACATTTTCAAAATATTTTACTTTTGCAAAATGTAAGTATTAGTTCAGATGCTGTCAATGTCAATATACATGAAATACTCAATTGAAAGACTCAAGTGGTTTGAAAGACTCAATTGGTAAAATTCAGTCACAATAGCCATAGAAATATCCTACATGTAAGTGAAGTTTTGTATTTACAGATTTGGAAGGGAGTTCTTCAGCATCATGTTTAAATGTTTATTTTGCTACAGGGTGTCCTCAACGATGATACCTACATGGGGATCATTCCGCGTATCGTCCAAGACATCTTCAACCATATCTACCAGATGGACGAAAGCCTGGAGTTCCATATCAAGGTATGATAATATTAAAGGCATATAGGATCATTTGTATTTCATCCCAAAAGTAATCTATGGTACCGAATCAGTGTTGTACTGGTTTTAAACACCCCGTGGAATTATTCCATCTGGCTTGCTGTCATTTAGAAGAAATCAAGAAATGTCGGTGCTTTCCAACGATCAGTCAGTTGACTGATTTCTGGAAATACTGGTACTGCTATCAACGAAATCATGTTCGTAATCCGAAGATTGTGCATGGTTTTTCACTGTTTTCTTGAAAAGTGTAATATTCACTTAGCTGATATTTCAACAGGTTAGGTTTTGAACTTTCTTCTCTGGATTTTGAGTGGTGTTATTATTCAAAATGAACAGAATCCTACATATGCCTAATGTATTTTTACTTTAGTTTACAACCTACACCAATAAATATGTACCATTTTTTATTTTTTTATTTATGATTGGCTTGTCTGAAGATTTCCCACCTGTTTTTGTTCAACAGGTTTCCTACTTCGAGATCTACATGGATCGCATCCGAGATTTACTGGATGGTTAGTTATATTTCCAATCTGTGTTTAATTCTATCCCACACCTCGTAAACATCACACTCGGCCAAATTCTGCTTCAGTCAAAACGCTTGCACATGCTTCATGTGAATACAAATTTTCAGGGAATGTATGCAGTGAAATTCACAGGAAGTGACTTGAGTTCATCTTTTGCATCATTCGCAGCACTAAGACTGTCGTGATGTCACACGTTTGCACAGACAGTGCAGTCAGCCGAGTATAGACTGGCTTTTATTCCATTTTCCAAACTTCCCCACTCAAAGACTTTCTCCTGTTACCAAGAAATTCGAAGTGCGTATGAGGTTTTGAATCATGTACATTTGAAGCTTGTTGGCTTTAGACCTACGGTACATTTGTAAACATTTTCCTAATAAACATTAATTCAACACCTAAAATGAGCATCTTATAATTATCTGTTCTATGTCGTGTAGGAGAATTTATTCCAACTTTGATTTCTGTGCAGTGTCCAAGACCAATCTCTCCGTCCACGAAGATAAGAATCGCGTCCCCTACGTGAAGGGCGCCTCCGAGCGGTTCGTCTCCAGCCCGGAAGAGGTCATGGAGGTCATCGACGAGGGCAAATCCAACAGACATATAGCTGTCACAAGTAAGTCATGAACCTTGACCCTCCCAGATACTACAGAATCCCACAAAAGGATTGAAAGGATTTGAAGGGTGTAGAATGGTTTTCAGAGGTTTTGAAGGGTTGAGGATGGTAGAGCCGGAGATCATGGAGGTCATCAATGAAGGCACATCTGACAGACATATAGCTGTCACCTCCAAGAGGTTTAAAAGATTTTGAAGGGTTTTCAAAGATTTTGAAAGGTTGAGGATGGTGCATCCAATAGCTGCCACATGTAAGTCATTATCATTTATCCTTCCAGTTCCATCACACTTCGACAGGAGGTTTGAAGGATTGATGGACCAATTATTTCGCAGCTTTTGGTCTCCGTCAAACTGAGTCCACCTCACATGAACACTTGTATTACTTTCAGCCATTGACAAGGGAATGTCTAAACCACAGGTTTCAATCAAGAATGAATCAGGATTGTTTTCTATACCAATGTTTTTTGTTTGTGTTCGTTTTCCCAGACATGAACGAGCACAGTTCCCGCAGTCACAGCATCTTCCTGATCCAAGTCAAGCAGGAGAACGTGGAGACGCAGAAGAAACTCAGCGGCAAGCTCTACTTGGTGGACTTAGCTGGCAGTGAAAAGGTGATGCCTCCCTCTTGTTCTTATCTCCAGTACTGCTGAGCAATTTCGTTTGTAGTAAGCATTTTTCAGCAGAGAACCGGTCACAAGCAACAGACATCCTGTGCAATATTGGCTGGTAACCGGTCTTGGCTAAGCAAATAGTTGTCTGAGCTTAGCAAATTTTATGACGAGCAGATTCATGAAATTGTCCCCAGTTCAGTTTGTTGAGAGTTGAGGGGTTTTTGAAACTGTGGCTTGACTTGGGCTTGGGTTTGAAGAGACTTTAGGTCATAAGCTGCTGTGAAGCCAGAGAAAGCGGATGCTGCAGACAGAACCAGAGTTTTGAAAAGCTTCATTTTTATCATGTCTATTTCTTTGTCATTTTTGTCAGGCAGTTAGGCGGGCTGAATGTCTGTGAGGCTCACATTTTTTTTTTCTTGCGGGTGTCTGTTTTTTGTCCTATTGAAATGTTCTGGATGCACTGTTAATTTATTGCGGCATTTCTGAACCAACTTTTTTTTTTTTTTTTTTAGTCATCCTTCATACAAGTGTATCTTTTACGCAGGACTAATTTAATTTGACTTCGTTGAGCATAAGTTGAATATATAATAATATATATTTCTTGATATATTAACAAATTTGACTGTTGAAACTATTTTAGGTGAGCAAGACAGGAGCAGAGGGCACAGTCTTGGATGAGGCCAAGAACATCAACAGGTCTCTGTCAGCTCTTGGTAACGTCATCTCAGCTCTGGCGGATGGAAAGGTGAGTAGAAAACATCTGACTGGTCAGAGCCACCAATCGTGTGACAGTGCAATGGAAGTTCTCTTTACCCTGGCCGTGCATTGGGGCATGTACTTCATGATGTGTGATCTATGAACTACCAATCAGGAGACGGGGATATATTCAGGCGTTGTGTAATGATTGACTTGTGGTGACTTGGATAACAAAGAAACAAATCTGTGTATATTGCACTTATATTTTAACTTACAGCCGGTTAGGAGTGTGGAAGTCATCTTTCATATAAGTCTACTCTGATTTTGAATTCTCTGTGTTTTTTTTGTTTTTTTGTCACAGAAAACTCACATCCCGTACCGAGACAGTAAGATGACGAGGATCCTACAGGAGTCTTTGGGAGGCAACTCCAGGACCACCATTGTCATTTGCTGCTCGCCTTCCTCCTTCAATGATTCTGAGACCAAGTCCACACTGATGTTTGGACAGAGGTGAGTACTTGATTGGAATGTAGGATTTTGCTTGTATGGCGCGAAAATACGCAGGACTGATTTTTTTCAAAATACATCGGAGAGCACTGATTTCAATTTGATACGGCAGAACGTATTGCAATAAATGTTTTGCTTGATGAATTACAATATTCTAAACGCCGTATGCTCAGTGTTGTCTGAGGACTTGCAAGAAAAAAATTCACAAGCTTACTTGGGTGGGACTCGAACCCATGACCTCCTGCTTACTAGTGCAGACGTCTTACCACTTTTGAGTTGTGTGTTTTAACTCGACGTTTGGAACAGTGTGCTCTATTCATCATCAGGAGACTACTGGACTCTTGCTGGTTTAATAGTTTAGGTATGTGATACAGTTGCAAAATGTGTTAGTTATGTCTAAGTTTCCCGACATCTTCCTTGTCTTTTTGGTGTTTCACAGAGCGAAGACAGTCAAGAACACAGTGACAGTGAACATTGAGCTGACTGCCGAGGAATGGCGCTCTAGATTCGAGAAGGAGAAAGAAAAAGTGTTGAAACTACGCGCCCAGCTGCAGGCCACAGAGGCCGAACTGCGCAGATGGCGTGGAGGTAACGTAGTCACAGAATGTAAACACTTTTAACATCCAGAAAAAAGTCATAAAATCATAAACTTAAGAATGAGACATTAATATAATGATTATAATCCATAAGAAAATGATATTGGGATATTCAGCTGACTGGTCAAAAATGAAGCCCAAAGAGCTTAGGTTTAACAAATAATCTTTTCCTCGTTTTTCAGGAGAGACTGTTCCAGAGAATGAGCAGAACACCAAGAACGTGACCATCTTGAAGGAGGTGGCTCCGCCCACTCAGACAGTCACCGTCTCGGTCTCGGAGGAAGAGAGAAACAAATGGGAAGAGGAGAGGGCCAAGCTGTACGAGCAGCTGGATGAAAAGGTCCGTGCTTATGACCATTTAGATGAAGTCAAAGACGTCTTACGTCAGTGCTTGTGAAGTTAGAGACTTCTTTCGACAGTGCTGGTCGAGTCAGAGATTTCTTAAGCCGGTCTAGGATTTCCTTGTGTGAACAGCAAAAGGCACTGTCTTTCTTATTCACATTGAATCAGAAGAGTACAAAGTTAGCACATCCAGGAGCAAGTTTGAGCGAGGACTGTGGTTAACCATAGTTTGACCAGCTTCACTTGAATACAGGATGGTTGTACGACTCTAGTCGACTATTTGGAAGCGGTGCCCAGGCACGGTTCCAGCACTGGTTACCAATAGCCTCGCGCATCATAAAGCAGAACGGGGAGTCACGACCAAGAAGTTTTATGATGACGTTTTGACCAGCGTTTGACTAGAGACGTTTGCACATTGCTATCAGTGCACAGGCGTAAGGTACGTCACAAATCAACCACTAGTCGACTAACGGTCCTCACCTAAACTTGCTTCATCGGATTTTACACTATCTTGTACAGAATTTGTGTAGGAATGGGGTAAAAGGAACACCAGCATACTGGAGTCTGTAGCACCTCCGATTTAGGTTTACAATAATCTTGTTTCGAATCCCCTCACAGGACAGCGAGATTGACAGCCAGTCCCGCCTGACCGAGAAGCTGAAAGAGCAGATGCTGGACCAGGAGGAACTTCTCTCCTCCATCCGCCGGGAATGCGAGTACCTGCAGTCCCAGATGACGCGGCTGGATACGGAGAACATCGCCGCCAAGGAGGAGGCCAAGGAGGTCCTGCAGGCCCTGGAGGAGATGGCTGTCAACTACGACGAGAAGTCCAAGGAGTTGGAGGACAGGGCTCGGACCAACGAGTCACTGACGGAAGAAGTCGGAGAGAAGCTGGTGAGTGTTTGTCACTGCCCCCCCCCCTCCCCCCGCCCCTCAAATTAAGATTGGTCCAGCAACTCCCTTGGTATTAGTGTTAGTGTGAGTGTTTGTTTAATATTGTCTATTTGCGTGGCTTTTTCAGAATGCCCTGAATGCCATCACGGCCCAGCTGGAGAAAGTACAGGACATGGAGCAGCACCAGCGTCGACGGACCACAGAGATGATGACCAGCTTGCTGAAAGACCTGGGAGAGATCGGAGGGGTGCTGGGAGGCAACGTGGCCGATATGAAGGTAAGAAAGTCCTCAATGTTTGCTGGTCCCAGAGGGCCAGCCTGGTGTCCTCTTTGTCCTCACTGACGAGTCGGGCAGTGCTATCATATAGGAGAACATGTGCCTGTAGCAGGAATGAATGGGCTACGTCCGGCCCATTGTGAAGACCAGATACATGAAAAGACTAACAGTGAAGAGTCATTCTGAGTCAATTGAATCGAATCTTGTGTGCTCTGGGACGAGCTTTACAAGGTTTACACAATAATTTTTTTTTTTTTACAAATGCAGCCAAAAATAGGTGAATTAAATTACCTCTATAGTGAACAATCTTTTCAGGACCTAACTCTGTACTTATAGCAAATGTTCTTACTGTAAATACGAGGGGGAAAAAGCAATACAAAATTTTGTATCTTGCTTTTTTTTATACGCCAGCTGAACATGGAGAACACTGACAAGGTGGATGAGGAGTTCACCATGGCAAGGCTGTATGTCAGTAAGATGAAGACAGAGGTGAAGACGCTGCATCAACGCTGTAAGCACCTGGAGGCCACGTCTAGCACCACCGCCAAGAAGCTAGAGGAAGATGAGAAGGAACTGGATGCCTGCAGGATGCAAATTGCACAGGTGAGTTTCCTTGGGGACCCAGTACATGTAACTTGCATCGAGCATGAAGTGGTGTGTGCCAGATATCATTTGATGCTATTTCTTGAGTATAGTGCCCAGTCAGTCAGGCAATATGTGAAATGTTCTGAAAAAATGAGACGGAATTGGTCACAGGTTGGAGTGGAGCAAAATGCAAACAACCGAATTTGGTGATTTTTTTTTCGATTTACAGATTTATTGATATTTGTAATCTTTGATATGTCTACTAAACAAGTTTTAAAGAAAAAGGTTAAAAACCATAAAATAAAAGTGGTTATAAGGAAAAACAATTGGCCTCAGTGACAAGCTGTACTAGTCTTGTCTTGTCTTGTTAGACTTAAGATTGTAGTCATAATAACGTCAGTGGTGTTTCCCTCACAGCACGAGGCCAAGATCAAAACAGGCCACGAGAACCTGCGCGAGGTGGAGCTGAAGAAACAGAGTCTGGAGGACAAGCTGGACATCTTGAATGAACAGCTGGAGCAAGTCAATGCTGATGGTGAGTCTGAAACCAGACCATATCTTGCCAACAGTTGAAAACAGACAGTTTAGTTGTACTTGTTCTCCCCCTTCTCGTGAGCACCATTTTTTAATTGCACAGCTACTGTTTATAGAAGAGCCACTGTCCAGTTGTTACGGGACTTGACTCATGTGCGATGGTACCTGGGTTAGAACCATGACAGGTAACATGGTGCTTGTGTTCTTGGGCAAGACACTTTACTGCAATCGTCTCTCTCCAACCCGGAGTATAGATGAGTACCTATAAAATGGGTAGAGACCAGATTGCGCTGATCTTGAGCTGCTGCAGAAATATGTTCTCATAGCCTGATGAACAGGGATAATAATTGCGGAGCGCTTTAAGAGTTTGGTTTTAAGTGCTACTTAAGCTTGGCATTGTTATAACTGATGCTTGTAAGCTAATGAAACCAAGAGAATAAATAGACAATGTAGAAAGAGTGTGAGAGCTAGGATACAAAACACTGGTCACAAACTCACCAAGACGAAAAATTATGGAGACCTATCGAATCAGGCAGGGACTGAAACCCAGTCCACAGGTCAGCCTTGGTGGGATTCGAACCAGAGAACAGTACTGGAAGGTGCAGAAAGTACCACACTGTCAACCTGACTTCCAATGTTGAAATGACACTCGGTGATATATCTTCTTTTTTTTAAGTAATCATTCTCATTCTTTGATTTTCCTTTCAGCTGAGAAAAAGCGTGCCAACGAGGGCAAGGCGTTGGAGGACAAGGCCAGAGAGAGCGAGGAGTCAGCCAAGGAATTACAGGTAAATCTTTAAGTTTTTCCTATCACCAGGTCCTTATTACAGGTACAAGAGCTCGCCTTGAGCCAAAAGATCCCGCAAGAGCCAAAACGGTCATAATGTAGAAACTCACAGCTGTCAACCAGTCACCAGCAGGCGGTACTGTTGCACACGGACGCAGCGCGCAGCAGGCTACACATGCATTGTTGTCTTCAACCACAATGGCAGTTTTGAGCAGTGGGAAATTTGTTTCGGAGAGCGAAGAATATTCGTCAAAATTCTGGAAATAAAGACAGTGTCCTGAAATTTATTTCTTGCTGATGAAGGCAGCCTGATATAAATAATAATAATATTGGATATTTTCTTCAGGGAATACAGGGAATATTGCACTCGCTATAACAATATTTCACTCATCTTTGACTCATGCAATATTGCTATAGCTCATGCAGTATAGTCTTGTATCCCCCTCAAAGCCATCCAATATTACATAACTATAATATTTCTATATTGGTCTGATCCCTGATTGTTTCCGTGTGTGTATTTCAGGCCAAGATGGAAGCCCAGATGGAGAAGCACCGGGAAGCCCACCATCAGCTGCTGACCAGCCTCCGGACCGAGATCTCAGAGAAGGAACACCTCATTGAAGAACTGAAGGAGTAAGTATTCTCATGGAATTCTTGAAACGCTTGTTCTATCTTTCCAGCTACTATATAACATTCCGTTTCGGTGGTTCAATTCTGTCAAGCTTCATTGCCAAGATGACAAGATATTTGCAAGTGCCCCGCGTTTGTGTTTCAGAATTGTCAGAATTCAGTACGAACCAATGTCTAACGGTGTCTGTGATGCCTTTTTTTTTCAGTGTGAACCAAACTCTGACCCTGCAGCAGGAGAAACTTCAGCTGGACTACGAGAAACTGAAACAGGAAGAAGCCGAGAAATCGCGCAAACTCCACGAACTCAGGTGAGGATTTGACAGATTGTTGAAAAAAAGATGTCAGAAAATGAATTATTGGAAAAATTCATGGTTGGCATTGCCAGTTTTGACAATGTCTGTTGTAGGCAAGTCCATCACAAGTCCTCACAAGTTAATCACAAGTCAATCACAAATCAATCACAAATCAATCACAAATCAATCACAAATCAATCACAAGTCCATTACAAGTCCATCACAAATTAATCACAAGCAGTGCATTTGTTGTGTTGCACTTGCATTGTTTTGGCAGTGTGATCCCGACATCAAAAAATCATGAAAACAATACTAGTAGCACGAAAACTTTCAATTGACAATTGTTCACTTGTTGGTATATTTGTCTCACAGCCAACAAGCCGACAGAAGAGAACAGGCTAAGCAGGACCTCAAAGGATTGGAAGAGACAGTGGTACAGCTTTTCAAATTCTCTTCAGTTATTACTCTTAATAAAAAGAAGTATGCTCAAGTTTTATACAGTCAAAACTTTAAAGTTACCTAAGCTCAAAAATATTTTGAGTTTTTGCAAAAATTGGTTGCGAATATTGAGCACGTCCAAGCACAAACTATGGTGACCATTAGTTGACAGATGTATTCCAGGCAAGATTTTCAACTTTTCCTGTCACCTTTTGGAAGTGTACCAGCCTTTAATTGCTGTTAAGTATGGGGGAAACCGCTGACTCGACAAATAATTGTACCAAATCCAACAAACAGACGGGAGAAGCAACTAAACGCAACATTGAAAAAATGCGAGTCATAATGTGCAATTTGACAACAGTGGTTAGACTTGGGGGAATGCAAATTGTTAAGTAGAAAACGACCATTGGATAAATGTTGCTAGCTCTATCTGACCTTTGATCCCTACCCTCTGACCTTCCCTCCCCATCAGGCCAAGGAGCTCCAGACCCTGCACAACCTGCGTAAGCTCTTCGTCCAGGATCTGCAGAACAGGGTCAAGAAGGCGTTGGAAGGCAGCGACCGGGACGACGACGCCGGGGGCAGCCAGGCCCAGAAGCAGAAGATCTCCTTCCTGGAGAACAACCTGGAACAACTGACCAAGGTTCACAAGCAGGTGAGGAATGGAAGACCAAGAAAATGCCTTTAACCATTGGGTCCAATTTTGTCCAATATCTCAGCAATACAAGCTGACAGTCTTTTTCAGAGCTTGAACTCTTCGTGTCCTGACATTTTTTAAACAACCCTCTGACAGCATGAAATGTTTTCATTATTAAGCGCTGGATACTTAAGGCCTATTGATAGGTGGGTCTACAATTCATTTTTTATCTCTTTTTGTCTTTGAAAGCTGGTGCGTGACAACGCAGACCTGCGTTGTGAGCTTCCCAAGCTGGAGAAGCGTCTGCGTGCGACCTCCGAGCGAGTCAAGTCACTGGAGGCTGCCCTCAAGGAGACCAAAGAGGGCGCTATGCGGGATCGCAAGAGGTATGCACTCAATCTGTTTGTTAAGCCGTTTCCATTGATATGAGTCCGGGTACAATTTTGAGCTTGTACAAAATCTTTAGTCTGATTTTCATACCTCTTTATTAAGCAGTTTCTATTGATGAGAGTCGGGGTACAATTTTGAAGGTTGCAAAATCTTTAGCCTGGTGCTGATACCTCTTTATTAAGCGTTTCTATTAGTGTGAGTCAGGGTACAATTTCGAAGGTGTACAAAATGTTTAGTGTGGTGCTCCTACATCATTTCCATATGTTTTTGTTTGTTGGGGTTCAGGTACCAACAGGAGGTAGACAGAATCAAGGAAGCCGTTCGTCAGAGGAACAGCGCAAGGAGAGGCAACTCGCCACAGATAGGTTAGTTGATGTGTATCGATCACTACGCCCCTTGCAAGGCAGTTTTAACTGAACAAACTTTCTATCTGAAAATGTCTGAACATTAAATGCATTCCTTACAAACTTTTCTTTTTAACCCCTCCACAGCCAAGGCGATCCGTGCAGGCCACCCTCCCCTCTCCCCCGGCCATGCCGGGATCCGCGGTGGTGGCCACGTGGTAGGCATCCGTGGGGGTGGTGGCCAGGGGCCCATCATCCGCTCCAGCCCCCAGCAGAGTCCTGACAGTAACGTCAACCCCAACCAGCAGTTTGGGCAGGCCAACATGGACAAATCGTAAGTGGGTTTAGAGAGAGAGGTGTGTGTAGGTTCTTGGGAAGGGGTGTGCGGCAACGCAACAAGGAGAGGCGGTTGGAGAATGTTTAGTCGAGCCTTGACAAGCCATCCAGTCACAAATTATTACTTTTTAAGGAAATTCTCATAGAGGCAGAAATATGGAAGCAGAATTGCTTTCAGAGAGGGGATTTCGGTTATGTCTTGCTTCTGTTGTGTTGTCACTGAGTTGTTCCTGGTATTCACAACAAATAAATGATGGTGCGCCTTTCCAAATTCATGTCTGTGTTGCTTGGGAAAAAATGGATACATGTTTTCTGCAAAGAAGCAAACTGTTATTTATGTGTTCAAGGTGTGTTGGTCAATATTGCATGATTCCAATGTAATATATGTGTCCATACAGCTGTACTTAACATAACTCTCGAGGACAAGTTATTGTCTTTCCCTTGGTCCCTATATTATGATATTCTTGCATAGACTAAGCACACAAACTCACGATTGAGGACCGTTTTTAACAAAAGATGAACTCTCAAGGACAACAAAGAATCTGTTGTTCTCCCTTTGTCCGTCTGTCTGTCTGTCTGTCTGTCGGGCGGGCTGGCTGTCTGTCTGTCTGTCTGTCTCGGGGTGTATGCAAAGTACGTACACATCTTCTTGTATGTATTTGGAATGAACAGAGAGTGCTTGAGAGGGAATGGCTTTTGTTGAGAATAGAATCTGCTGCTATGTGGTATGTTGTTAAGTTAAACCTGGATGTGCTAACATGTGGACCATGTTTGCTGTCTTGCAGCCATCTTGTGATTTTAGTTAACAGATATGTTTCAACTAACATAGATTGGTACCCAATGTTTAAAGGACTTTTACAGGAATCTTTTCCTGCATGTTTTGGGGACATGACCAACAATTCAACATTGAAAAGATCATTGGCTATTTATGAAAAATCGGCTTCAACTTCAGGCTATTGGATCTAAACTTGAGGAGCATTAAGCCACCACTTTTTAGTGAAAAGCAAAGAAGCTGCCAATATAAAATTTCAGATTTTCCATTTTTGGAGGATTGGGGGGGGAGGGTTACTGAGCTTTCACCATTGGCTATAGATATGACATAATTTGTTGTATGAACTTACAGGCATCAAAAGTCTGTTCAGGCATTCATTCAGTTCTTACAAATAAAATAGTCTGGTGCTCGCCTGACGATCATTTTTGTACAAGTTCTGTACATAATGGTGTCAGGGAACATGACCAAGATGGCTACTGACTGGCAGGGTCTCAAAAACCTTTGTGTTTGCATGCTGCATGCTTTGTGTCCAATGTGCTTCTTTTTTGTTTGTGTTAATTAACCGCACCCACAGTAAGCCAGAGGCCTTCACGTTCCCAAACGCGTCCAGCACGGGCGAAAAACCGGTCCGGAGAAAACACCACGGTCACCGAGGCCGGGCCCACTCCCACGACAGTCCCAGCTCCCCCCAACAACGGCATATATCCCAGGATGCACCTGAAGGGGCGACAGGGGCACAGTCCGATCCAATGTCAACGTTTGTATTTTTTTTGGTTTTGTTTATGTTCTCTTCTTTGTTTAATTTTGTACAAGTCCGATTTCTGTTCCTTCTGTTTTCTGCATGACTGTATGTTCCTTGCCTGTAAAAAAACCCAGAAAAATTGTTTTGCTTTTTGTGCTGAAATAAAAAAAAACTAACAACTGGTAAACGTCAAAGGTTGGGTTTATTCATTTTGTGTCTTTTATACAACCTACACTAGTGCAAGGTAAAATTAGTGACAACCAATCTACATGATTACATACGTTTATTGTTAATTCTTAAGACAGACCAAAAACTCACAGATTAAAAAAACAACTAATTTTGGTCAAACTTTTTGTTCAGTTATTCATTTGTTATTTATAATATATTTAGTGCATTGGAGTTTTTTTGAGCAATTAACCTATTGTGGTGGAATCGCGTCAACGCAGCGTGTGAAATATTGTCCAATTACATGATATACCAATGGATGCCCATGTGTAGAGTGGGCGGAGCCCATGTGTGTAGTAGGCGGAGCCATGTGTGTAGTAGGCGGAGCCTAGTGGATCAGTCTTATTTTATTTCAAGCCCGGAAACTGGTTCAACTAAAAACTGAATTATTTTATAGGTAATTTCTGAAGGAGGTTGAGCTTGTTGATATTATGAAGAAATGAGGATAACACTGAATGATCTTTGTTGAATTTTGTGCAGGTCGAGCAGCTACAATAATCTGAACTCCAACCAGAACGACGTGGAGAACATGGAAAGGAAAGCCAAACGGCTACCCAGACTTCCTGGAGGTAGGACCAACGAAATTATGTCTTGTGATGTCCTATGATGGACTTACAATGTCTTGCGATTGACTTATGATGTATTGTGATTGACTTAGGATGTCTTGTGATGGACTTATAATGTCTTGTGATGGACTTTTGATGTCTTGTGATGGACTTTTGATGGGAACCAGTTTTACTAGGCTGACTTTGTCTTGTTTTTGTGATGTAGCCAACTCTAAGCTTACCGATGCGGACATCGCGGCAATGAAGGCGCGGGGCCGACAGAAGACGTCAACTAACAACACCAGCAAGACACCAATGACGGGTGGGTACCAATCACATGAGAAGCTAATACATTGGTCTGATTGAATGGGTGGGGGTGTGGCTGGGGTTGGGGATTTAGTTTGATGGGCTTATTATTTTGTCACGCCTGAAAATGAAACTACAAAAATATCAGTGGTATTTTCAGATTTGGCCAAGTAACACTTGGTTTTGTTTCTCTATTGTCATTCATGTTGAATCTCTGTTTCTTTTTTCCCCCTTTGTTTACAGCGAGCGAACCAGCAAGCTAATGCCAGTCAAAAATACATCACAACACAACCAGAAAAAAAAAAAAAATGTGAGGGGGAAAAGATTATTAAGTGGGTAAAACCCAGCGCTGGTAAGATTGGTAATTAAAAATTATCTTAACGTAAACACAGCAAGTCTGCACCTGCAGTTTTAGACTCTAGATAGTCTCATTCTCACAGAGAAACATCGACTGTAAAACAGTGTGCACCTGGCGGCCATCTTGGTCTTGATCCCTGACTGGATTCAGATACAACCCATGTTAAGCATAATAGCATTGAGCCTGCATGACTTCATTGGTCATGTTCCCTGACTACATTACACAAACCTAATGCCCTGGTACTTTCATTGCTGTTAGTCAGGTACTGTTCCCAAATGTCAGTCTCCAGATTTCATCTTTTGCAAAACACAAGATGGCCGCCTGTGGGAATACCAAGTAAGAAAAAAATATCACCTTACCCGAACTCAAATTAATAAATTTTAACTTTCAAAAAAATGCTCACAACTGCAAAGAAACACACACTTCAGAAAAGGCACTAAATATGGCAACATCCTATTTATTAATCACAAACTCCCAGTTAGAGGAATTTCTTCCTTTCGTCAGTGAATATTAATTGTAAAAAATGCTAAAATGTAACAAATTTGATCATCGTTTTGGCAAGTGACGTGTGGGCAGTTAGAACTATCGACCTAGATTAGTAGAAGCTTTGTACCTGTATGCTGCAACAGCAACATTTTGATGTGAGTAAAATTATCTTAAAAACTTTACAAAATCTCCATACATGCATGTAAAAAAAAATGAATCGTGTACGTCCTCTCTAGATATACAATAATTAATAATTTATTAAAGGATAAATTTAAACAAACTATTGAATAATACCTTTTCTATAAATATTGTGGTCGTGTGGAAATAGTGCTCTCTGTACTGTGACTTGAAAAAGTGTGACCGAAACGCTTTGTACCCGTAACTTGTAGTGTGAGAATTGTACATGCATATCAATATATCTTTAACAAGTAAATCCAAATGGACATTTCCCCATGGACATTTGTCTCTTTTTGGAACAAAATTTGTTTTCTTTTATCAATTATTTTGTCACTTTTTTAATCAGTTTATTTTTTTTTGCAAGATGAAATTGTTTTCTTGGCAATGTAATTATCTACACTGATTCACATACATAGCATTAACTGTATTTCAACTTACTTCGGTTTTGGTCATTGTCCAAATCCATGAACTCATTATCATGGGTAAGTTTTTTTTCTTCTAAATCTAGAGTTTTCTTCTATTTTTCCAGTCCTTTATTGATGTAGACCAATCTGGGCACATAATTGTACACTTTGACTCACTGAGGCCCCCATTAATGGCGGTGGCAGCCATTGTCCAAAGCAACCACTCCACGACAGTTACTTTGAACAGTACTTTGGCCTCTCTGAGCGTCTAGTCATCATGTGCCCGGACTGGCCTACACAGTAGCTGCAGTTTAGCATTAGCAGCAGGGCCAACTGCAAGAAAATCTTGTCTTGGCTTACAAATTTAAATGTAATTATGTAATATGTAACTGTAAAATGTTCAGTAGTGTATTGTAGCCTAGATCAACTTTCTGTCTCGTTGTGAGGACGACTTTGTTTTCCTCAGGAAAGTTGTTGGTCGGTCAGATACGCACATTAATGATGTCAAAAGCGCACATAAATGTTGTAGTTACTTGTAATTTTTTTTTTTCAGAGGAAAAAAAGAAAGGCTTTGGAAGTTTAACTTGGCAGTAAATATGCCAGTCCTGTTTTTATTTAATATATGCATCGTTCTGATGTTTGTTAAACAAAGAAAGGGACTCGTTTGTTAGCAGCAAGTTAAAAAATTCCAAAAGTCCGTTTTTGAAGGAAAAAAATGCAGATTTGGTTGTCCAGGTACAAAAAAAGGATAGTATATCTCCACGGTCTGCTGTTTTTCATCGACATATCAACAACGGCAACGATGACTACAAAAACAACAACAACATCATCAAAATCAACAACAGAAAACAAAAAAATAAATACCATGCATCAAGTGATGACTGTACTCCCTGCCATCATTCCTACCCTACACTGACCCTTATCCACCCTTTTAATTTGCATATTCTAATCAGCCCCTCTCATTTGCATATCCTAATCCGCCCCTCCTCATTTGCATAGCCTCAATTGAATTTCACTTTGAATGAAGAATGGAGGGCTGCAATAATTGGACGTTTGCAGCGACCCTGAGAGACATTTAGCCTCTTTTGTGAGTTTTGTGTGGTTCTGGGAAAGAACATGCATACACTCCTCATTTCAAACAGATTGCTACAAACTGAACATACCATTTGAAATTTACGTTTGTTCTTTTTCAGATTTACTTGTTAATCACATAAAGATGTATTGTCACATGGTGTCACCGCAAAGTTCTATTTACTTCACACTGAAAGCAGTGCTCCAGCGAAGTGTTTCCATTTTATGGACTAACATGTCTTGCCAGAGCGTGCCTTCGGTGTCGTTTTGAGCCCAACCTAGATTTTTGCTAAACACATACATTTGCTTAGGGCCCGATTGAAATTTTTGCAACCAGTTTGCGTCTAGCACCCCATCTTCTTTTTAGGAAACTTATCAGTTAAACTAATGGTTACTGAGGTTGTGGGTTGGCAGTGCTCCAGTGAAATACCCCCAGTCTGGTGAGGTGTGTCGTACCAGAGCCTGCTACCCTCAATGCAAATGTGACCTTTGACATTTAACCTCTGTCCAACAAAAGCTTAGAGTGCAAAGAGAAAGTGTAGCTGTTGATTTGTCACTAGCTGTCATGTTTTTCTCATAAAACATCGGGTTACTGAAGACACGATAGAAGGCGCCCGCTGAATGGTCAGAATCTTGAGGTCAAGACACAGTCTTATTTTGCAAAACCTGCACGCATATCATTGACACTTGCTATGCGCAAGTGTCTATTCCATAGACTATACATTAGTGTCCCCTTTTAAAAATCCCCCGATTCGCAGCTACAGATACAAGATAATAAGTTATCTTTGAATCGGATGAGAGTTGAGATTTCAGCAAATTGTACTTGGACAACCTTATCTCAGTGTGCAATCTTCTTCTTCTTCTTAGAAGACCCTTTCTGGTCAACCACTAATGTGATTTAATGATAGCGTGTTAATTAAAGAACATCTGTGTATCCTGTGATAGAATCACTCAGAGGTGTTGTAGAGTAGAAGTGCCAAGCATAAAGTAACCAACCCATGGTTTTGTATTCATTGTAGATTTATAGCCCTGTTTGCATCATATTAGGTGTGATAGCTAACTCTACAAGAAAAGAAGAGAGCATTTATCCATATTGCATGATCGATTTCTACAAAATAAATTGTCACGTATAAAATTAAATGCTTTAAAAAAAGTACAGATCAAAGCAGAAGTTTAGAAGATACTAGACTGGGATCCATATTTGTGGAAACTGATGTTTTTCTTTCTTTGCATACCTATTTCCAATTTGTCTGTTTTAATTCAGATTTTTTTCTTGACTTGAGATGAAATCTGAGTTTTTTTGGTGCTTCTGAATGCTGAAATGAATGATTTTAACTTCGTGTTTCGTTGTTTTTGTTCTTACAAGCTCGTGTGTCAACTTTTTTAAAACAAACTTTTCACGTGTTAAATGAATTTGTAATTCCAGTTAGTGCACTGATGTTGGGACTGTTAATTGTAGCAAAGCATGGCCGCATGAAAATTTGGAACATTTGAAGGGGAAAAAACAAGTCTTGTAGGTAGACATTTTAGTGGTGAGAAGTCGGGAAGTTAGTCTAAACATAAATAAGTTTAATCTTGATGAAAAAAGTTGCAGATTGGTTAGAAAGGACCAGATTTCTTTTCAAAGTATAAATTGAAGAGTATAATGATCAGTGATGATGACTTTATCCAATACCCTACATTCAGTTGGCTTTGCAATTTGTAAAAACAATTACAGGGTGTCCAATGAAGTTGTCACTTTGCCGGCTTTGAAGATAGTTTCAAAACCACTCGGTTAGTTAAAGTTTTTTTTTATTGTAGGACTATAAAAATATTTCTTTGAAACAAGACAATGCAAAACTGGTTCCAAAGCCCACATCATTCTGTTCAATGGGTTCTTTTTTTTTCTTTTGGATAATTAAATTTTATTATTGTTACTATATTCTTTTCTTTAATCATCGAGAATCTTTGGAACACCCTGCAATTGTTTTACTCATTGCAAAGCCAAAACAAAAGGAAACTTACTGACAATAAAAACTGTAAATAACTATGCCATATGTAAGTGTCTTGTGTGATAAAAATCCAACAAAAAACAAAGAGACTAATTGTATAAATAGTGTATCGGTAGTTTCGCTTTCCCTCAGAAGTGCTGGTGATGTCCAACAAGTAAGTCCATGCTTCTAGATGTTCTATTTAAACGACAACTGCTGTAAAATTTGACAATTGTTCTAGGTGTACAAAACTGCTTGAGTGTGGCATGATATGTGTTATATTAAGAAAAAAAAATTAAAAGAATCAGGTTTACAAACAGTAAAAATAAGAAAAAAAAGTTGTTGAAAAATTCAGCTCAGTCTTAATATTGTACAGCTTATTATTAAAGGATATTGTCTGCTAGAAAATGTTTGAAATGTAAAATGGTGGTCAAGAGTTAAAAGATTAACGATCACGGCTTTAAATACTGCTTAATTTGAGTATAAGAAAAGACGGGGGAAAATGTTGTTAAATATTAATATTATATTATTCGATATAAACAAAATTTTGTCAATATTGTGCAGTCTAGCATGTAACGTGTGTGCATATATTAAGAAACTTAATGCTAGGTATAGACAATTGGTGTTGAATTTAAAAAAACAAATTTGATCAATGATAAAATCTGTTTCAGTAGTTTTGTCCTTGTGATGACAAAAACTTAATTGGTTCATGACACATTATGTCTTCTAGTAATATAGATGTTTGTTTTGTTTTTACTTTCCCCATTATACCACTACCTGCCAGATGTTGAAAAAGCAAAACTCAGCAAAATTCTTTCTGCTTGTTCACCGTTGTTGGGAAAATTACAGCGAGGCATTTAAATGTTTTGAAGAAAAAAAAGAGACAAACAGACTACCAACACTTTGAAACACCCATCTCATACTGGTGTTTATTCCAGAGTAACCCTGACCCCAAATCGACCCAAAGAGAAAGTGGTTTCCGACAGGCAATTAAACCTGATCTACTAATTTTCCATTGACTGCAGTCAATTCTTTCCCCCACAAACCTATAATTCCACTGCTCAGAGTAATTTCATTTGGTGTGACTCGAGAATGCCAATCTGAAATGAATGTCAATTCTCCATACCTCCTCTACCCACAGTAAACCTAGACTAGACCCCCATTTTCTCTGACTTAGCCCCGCCCCTCCACACCACATTCACTCAATTGCCATTGATAATACATTGTACAAGCCATGCATCAAAAATTTCATGGACACCCCCATCTTCGTGGTCACATGGTAAACTAAAGGTGGCATTTCATTGAAATAACGTCCCATCATGAAGCATTAGGGGCGGTGCATGGACTAATGGGTTGACTTGAAGTAATTTGTTCCCTTTTTATAAATAATTTGCCTTAGTTACTTTGCCTTATAACACGAGTTTCCTTTTGCCCTGGTTAACTTAATCAATTGCCTATCAGGTCAAATATTTATTTAATTTGGTTAAACTTCTCTTAATTATGATAATAATGGTTTGTAAATTATTAATTCAACATTTTTTTTTTTGGTGTTAAATAAATTAACACTGATTGTACTGTATCATACTGTAGACTATTCTGACCAAGTTGTATTTCATTCATAGGTCCCTTGTAGGAACATTTACAGATCTGAAATCTTCCAAAGTCCAGCGTTGGAAGGGACACACGGCATTATGTTCTGGTTCATGCACGGATGGTGCGAAGTTGGCACAACTTATTTTATCCTGAATATGCACAAACCGTCGTGTGTACATGTGAGCATCAGGCAGGGGAGGCAATGCGTGTAAATGATCTCCCAAACTCTTTGTAACTGGGAAGGGGTAGTAGTGGAAGTCCAGAACCATGACGTCTTACAAAACTCATTTTCATTTATTTCCACAACTCACAACCTCTCTGAATGCATTTGAATTAACGATGAATGTTTTTTTTCCCTTGAGTTTTTTTAAGGATATCATTGTATACATGTGATAACGCAGTTAATAAATCCTTATATAAAGATCTCAACCCCTTGCTGGTTGAGTCACACGACTCAAAGGGTTACACCGCTATGTTCCGACACCCCTATGTTCCGACTGCACATATTCCTAACCCAACCCTAACCCTAACCCTAGCCGGGAGTAACACAATCTTATGTGCAGGAACATAGGGGTGTCGGAACATAGGGGTGTCGGAACATAGAGCAGTCACCGACTCCAAGAGCTTTATTTATTGGTCAATAAAATGGGACGTACCATTATCACTACGACACATAATGCCTTTGGTGAACAAAGGCAATTATATTTAGGATGGACCATCAATTTATAACCATAGGTCAGATTGACATGTAAATGGTGTAACCTGTGTCCAGTGGTCTTAAATTTCTCTGTCTTATGCCATCCACTGTTGTGAATTTTAAAAATGTTGAAAAAGGAAATAAAATAATTTTAAAAAGCTAGTTAAGAGAGGATGTCAGTGCTGTGTTGTGTTGTAGGACCAGATGTTTTCTCAGACAATAACTTTTTTTGTGCAATTTATTAGATTGTTTTCACTAAAAAAAAGTACTTTCCAGAGCTACTTTGCTATTTATACAAATCTAACCTAAAATACCTAATGAACAATGACAAAATCAACATGCCACAATTACTGATAGGTAAGATTTTTTAAATGCAATTTTTTTCCTAATGAATACAAAAATCTGCAATATATTTAACAATAAAATAAGGTATCTCGGTTTGATGTCCCCACAACCAGTCCACTTTGGTGCATTTTACAAATTTTTAACAAGAATGTTCAATTTTTTACGTAAAAAATCTAAATGCTAAATGAAAAAACAACAGAAATTGGTTAAAAAAGTAGGAACTATTCTAAATCATTTGTTTCTACATGTATTTTCCATATTAAAGCTCCAAAAAATGACAGACGTATACGGTTCTAATGGATGGTAGTTAAATTTAACAGATCTGGAGTAACCTCTACATGTATATACAATTTTGTTGCATTGTTTTTTGCATAAATTAAGAAAATCATTTGTCAATGAAATCACTTATCGCCTAATTTTAGTCATGAGCACTTTACTTTTGAGTGGACACAAAAGAATCAGTGTTTTCTTGATTTTGTTCAACTTGTCCAATGTAGGGAAACCACATACTCGCGTATTACAATAAGTTACAGGACAACATTTAGACTTTGTGCCAATATACGCATACAGATATTGCAAGAGCAACACTTCATTTTCATGATTTTTAACAGTACAAATGGCTCTCTAAAACTATGTAATTAAAAAGAACATTTTACACCTGCTCACATCTATTTACTTCTTGCTACAAAAACTCATTCCACAAACATGAAAATATCATAAGCATACAAAAGACTGAGTGAATTTCAGTAAATAATTTTGAGGTAATGAATTATGTGTACCTGCAAACCATACGGGCGAGGATGAGGTAAATAGGGCATTCCCCCCCCCCCCGCCCCAGTTTGCTCCACCCCCAAATTTGCCCAACCCTCCAAATTTGCCCAACCCTCCAAATTTGCCCCACACCTTGTTTATGAGACTCTATGCCGATACCATAACAGTTTGACAGGTTGGAAGGCCTTTAAAACTGGCTTACAATACTTATGTGAGTAATGGGCATCACCCCTAAGTGTCAAATAATATCCTCCCCCACTTCGCCTCCCCCCACCCCCCCCCCCTCCTCCCCCCTCCCCCCACCCCTTCCCTCCCGCCCCCCTCCTCTCCCACGATTCTTCAATTGCTCATTTCTGCCGGACCGTTTGTCATGGGCCGCAGGTTGCTATCAGTGAGCTTGTTGTACTCTGTAAGGATATCCAGTTCTCTCTTGTGCATCTGCCATGCGAAAAAAAAAGATGTTACATTTTTACATGATTATGTTCAAGGATCAATAAACCGATCCATATGCCCACTGAACATGTGGGCACTGGAACAGCACTTGTGGCTCTCAAATGCCATACTGTATGTTTTAGCCACATGCATCATACACATGCGAGCATGTCAAACTTCTGTGCATGCATTGCAGACATTAGTCTCCAAGTGCTGTAATTGGTCAAAATATCACAGGGTTGGTATTTATACTATTCCCAATCCTACACAATCCTACAAAACTTCCTGATGGATTTTTATTGACCTGGGAGGGTCAGGGTTAATCGTTGGGCCTTGATTGATAGCTCCTTTTTTTCTTTTTTTTGGCTCCATTAATCTCCAACTGCTGTGATTGGTCAAAATCTCACACGGTGGGGTTTAAAACCATCCTTAATCCTACAAAGTCCTACAAAACGTCCTGGTGGATTTTGATTGACTTGGGAGGGTCAGGGTCAATCGTTGGGTCTTGATTGATTACAATGGTTTACCTGTTTTAGTCTCTCATCTGTGTCATGTTTGTAGCCAATGAGATGACAGAGTCCATGTGTCACTATCACCTGGAAAAAAAGGACAATAACTGTGTATCAGTCATCAGTGTATGTGTAATTCTTTGCAAGTTGAACATAGAAATTGACTGGAGCAGGGTTTGAACCTTGGACCTCAAGATTGCCGTTCCGGTGCTTTACCAACTGAGGTACACGTGTAACTGGTCAGTGATTTATCCAGCCTTATGCTGGTGTTTCTCCATTTTGACACTAAGGATCCAATCCACTTGTTACGTCCCAATTATAGTAATTGCCCCGACTATGGTTTGGGTCGTCCCAACTGTACAGGAGAAGTTTGTTGGCTAAAGAGTGAGTAAAGTTGTCAGTATTTTGTTTTGCAAGTTTTCTGCATTCAGGGTCTTGGTCTGCGAACTCACAGGCAAGACGTCGTCCACATTGGTCCCATCTTTTTCACACTGTTGCTGTATGTATGACATCCCTAGGAAGATGTCTCCTAGGTCAGCAAGGTCACTCCAAGGGTCAGGCAGTCGGCCAGGGGCAAGGCTCTGTGGAATAACAAATATATGGATTTGTCATCATTATGACAAATAAATCATCTGGATTTATGGACATTTTCCATCAGGTCCAGAAAATATGGAAAAGATCCTTGCCAGATTTTAAAAAATGGTTTCTTGCACAATCGGGATGGCTGCATTATCTTGATGACACTTTTTTTTACCGTTATGGTCAGTAATATGTGTTGGAAAAAAAAAGAATGTAAAACTGAGAATAATTTCCAATTTGTGAAAAATATTTTTTGTTTTTCGTAATTTTGGGGCAAGTGGTGACCCAAAATTAAACATGCCACTATCTCACGTATAAAGGCCTACCATCATAATCTCTATTTTATTCGTTGGGCACATCCTGTGAAACAGCCCGTCAACCATCCGTGAGTTTTTGCTGGTAGGGACATTTAATGTAGGCCTACATTACATACATCAATGAAATTTGAAACTTAAATTCATATTGGCCATTTAATTTTCTGTAATGATGTTTCAAAGTTGTTCAACTCGTGCTCTTCAACCTTCTAAAAATACCCTTATTTTTGGGTTGCAAAATTTATATTGTCCGGCGGCATATAATTCGAAAATAATTTATTCTGTAGCTAAACGCGGACACATTTTTTGGTTCAAAAATCAAAGTCTCATTGAAAGGTTACTGTGCTGAATAACATTTGAATTATTATAGACAGGATTGGGGAAATGGAAAAATTGCTTTAATTTTTATTTTTAAAAACAAAATATGGGTTTTTTTCAGGATGAAAGGGAAAATAACACGGCAAGAGCATATTTATACTTCATGAGCTGGGAATGACAGCACATCCGTTGCCTCATCCTTGCCCCGGTACATCTTGTTCATTTCACGCACTTGGCTGTCCTGCATGCAGATGACGCCCAGGTCGTACCGCTCAGCGCGAACAATGCGCCGCAGCAGGTTGATGTCGGCCTTCAACTTTGGCAAGTCGAAAGTCACCGATTTCTGCAGGTTTCTCAGAAGAAGAGTCATGATTTTATCGGAAAGGTTGATCAGAAATGGGGGGCGCAGCTGTACTTTCCGTGCGTTATGCCAAAATGTATAGAGCACCCTTTTCTACAACACCACTCGATCCTCACTGAAGCGATATGATGAAATCTTTGTTTACGATTTTCTGCAGGATTAAAAGTGTGTTTTGGTCATGTGTTTGTTACCCAGACGTTTCTTTGCTTTTCGGATGAAACTTTACAGGGACCAGACTGTTGACAACGTGTTTACGTACGTGTTTTTCGTGCCTGAATCGTGGTTCTAAAAATAGAAACATTGGACCTTTAAACGACGAGTCCATTATTTTAGTAGTTGATTTGTGCTTGGAAGTGCCATGTATTTTTCTGTGGCAAAAAGTATAACATTCCGAACATTTGTTTCCACAGCTCTACAAATAAGATTAATAAAAAAATTATTATAAAAATAACATAAAAGGTAAATACGGCTTTCACATTATAAAAATATTATACCTGATGGAAATAATCTACCCGTAAAAAATAGTCTTTCCCAAAGATCGTTCCAAAAACCAAAAGGGAGGTTGATGATCAATTAAGAAAAACTAGAAAGGGATTATGCTTTCACGCAAGAATAGAACGATGACGAAAACTTAAAATCATCATTTAATCAATCATGTTAGTATTCATATCATTCAGAGTGAAATGGGAACCGTTTTAGCAGCCTCCAGCCCCGGGCAAGATTACGAGAAATTCTACAACTTTGGACGAGGACCCGGTCACTCAGCTAATCGAAAGGTCAAGTCAGTTCCACACGTGTTGTTGGAGAGGGAAGACGTGTGGAAGAAATCTTCCGTGTGTCGTGTTTTTATATTCACTTTTAATTTTAATTTCTGCACTCGGATTTAGATCATGGGAGGAACGAGCAAGGTCAAAGGAAGAAGAAGGTCGAAGAGGGGGAGTACGCGAGGCGAAAGAAAAGGTAGGATTGCGTACACCAGTTTGATGTAAAAGTGAATAAATGAGCTCAGTACTTTTTCTAGACATTGCTAGACGATGTCGAGTGCTGATCTTTCATTCACAAGTCATTGCATTGTACATGTACATGTACAATGCAGATTAGCTCGGTAAGTAAAGACATCAGTTAAAACTGTTTGCCTGGTTTTCATTTCTTGATTTATTAAGATCATTGTGAAATCAGTCATGTCAGTGTTGAATATTGTTCCTCGAATATGACATAATGATTGCGCAATCAATATTACACTGAGTGACAGTCAATTTACATTTAACATGTTTAAGTTACACTTACAGTCAAGAATATTTTTTTTCCAAAACTATAGTATTAGTAGTGTTTTACTGGGAAAGAATGTACTATCCAGACACCACTTATTTGGTTGTGTACAAGTTAACGTCTATGGAGAGTCGAGTGCATTTTCAAAGTATTTTCTAACAAAATTTGAAATGTTTCTCAGTCCCAGATTCATCATTTCATGTCTTTTAAACATTTTTACATTGTCTGACTTTCATTGAGATTAATATATGATGAAAAAAGTGGCATCAGGATGCAGCATTCTTTCCTGTTACTGTGTTTCAAATGCCATGTAATCGGCAGCAGAAGTATTTCTTTTTGTGGCCTATTAACCCTAACTCCCTAGGCCTTTTTGCTAGGATGTAGCCTCAATCCTGCAAAATCCTCCAATTGGCCCCATGGAAAAATAGCATATAGCCTCAATCCTGCAAATTCCTCCGTTATTTCTTGAATATGGTCCATGGAGGGGTGACCACTGCCTGAATCCTGCAAAATCCTCTGGCTATGACTGTCAATAGGCTGAGGCAGTGACATCCTGGAGCAGTACGGAGGTTGTCAAGTATAATCAAGGACTGAATTTATGCACAGATGAGCATAAACAACACAAGGTCCGGCCCAAGACCTTGACACAGTGCGTACTCCGAAATCAGCAATGCACTTTTGCCATGTAACCTCAATCCTGCAAATTCCTCCAATTTGCAAAAAGGATTTTGGAGGATTCAGGGCGGTTAGGGTTAAAGAAGCAGTGGGTTTTTCCCTTTAGAGTAACACTCAAAAGGTACAATGTACATGTATTTTTCATTAAAAAAATCAAAGATGTTGAATACCACGGACAGTCATGTTGTACATCTTTATAAAAAATTCAACAGATTTTGTGCGAAAGTTTAAGAACTCCATCAATCAGGTACTGTATACCGCAGAGACGCACCTGTCACAGGCTTGTTGGGTGCCCTCAAGCATTTCATGCAGTTGTCGGATTAGTCTAGGAAAATGAAGACTGTTCATGTACCTAGGGACATGTACATACAATGTACATGTATTTCCCCTGGGCGGTGGCATAGCCAGGGGGTGGGGGGTCATGCCCCCCCCTAACAAATTCCGAGTGACCCTCCCTAGATGCCCCCCTACCAAAAAAAAAAGGGCCGCTTGCCAAGGAGGTGTCTTTTTAACGTATCCTTCTTAAATAATGAAACAGAAGAGGAACATACATGTAGTATTTTTTACTCTATTCCAGTCCCCTTAATTCCCTTGACCCTCTGAAATGTGAATAAATTGGTAAGGAAAAAAAAACTCCCTCTAGCATCCAAAAAAAGTTCAGCCCCTTCCCCCACTTTTTCGAATTTAGCATGCCACAGATTGTACCGTTACTTACTGGAATTACATGTAGAAGAGCAGTTCCTTTGTTTGATAATTACGTACAGGAAAACTGGTAACTTTTAAGGTGAAGTTGTGTGACCGTTCTTTTTCTACTTTTTTTTTAAGATTATCATTTCATGAGAAATGCGTTTGAGAAGCCAAAATGGCTGCATTTCAGACAAAAGTGTGCTGTTAATTATTGACAGCGGACAGGTGGTGAGACAGACAATCTCACAGTGATTCTGAGATTTCTATCGCTCACACAGTGGATTGTGTACTTAGAAAGCCAGAAATGATGTTTGTTTCAGTCTCAGGATAGGCCCATTAGACCATCAACTATTGATGGGAAAGATTACTGGCTTAGTGGCACCTGAGCCTTGGATCGAGTTAGCAGACAAATGGCCAAAGGCATCAAGAATCGTACAGGCAAACAAAGACTGGGACTTATTAATTGATTATTTGAAAAGCATTTTTGCTGGCCCCGGATAGGTCAGCCTATAGTCCTCTTTGTGAATGCGTGACTGTCTGACTAACTGTCTGACTGACTTCCCGACTGTTACCTGGTCTGAAAATGGGCTGTGCATTGGAGCCGGGTACCCGGGAGTACCTGAACCCTGATGTCAGGAACAGGTTTCAGACTGTGGGATCGGGTACCCATAACCAACTTATAAATTACTTTCGTGTAGTTACTTCTCAGACAATAAAAAAGGCCATGATGATTACTAAAATTGAAGTGTTGGTTTTAATGTCTGTGATGAAAAAGTTAGAAACAAAAGGAATAACACTCACACACATGTCGAATACACTCACATTCAATGCACTGCCTCTCTTACCAAACATGCCAAATAAGTAGAGTTGCCAAAATGCACATATATACTTAACTAAAAATTAACTATTACAGCAAATACACCCTGACTTTTCTGCAGGGCTCAAAGAATTGACCAAGGAACCCAAGAGGTCTGGTCCTGGCAAGGAAGGCCGAAGGAGAAGCAGCGATAAGGGGCGGGAGACAGGAGATGCACACACCAAGTACTCAGTCCAACAGCTCTTGGGCCAAGTGAGTCAATCAGGAGCAATTTGGCATTTTTTTTTATATTCCCAAATTCAGTCAGTTTGTTCATTGTTCTCAACAAACACAATTTGGCTGCATCACTAAAGTTTTGCCAGTCTGTCCACATATGTTACTGCTCTGCTAATTTGTACACCCCCACCCCGAATCAGCTAATAATGAAGAAGATTGTGACTTCATGGATTTAAAAACATTAACCCTTTAACACTTGCATTACATTACCACAGTATTCTTACTCCTTGAGTGATGGGGCAGTTTGGGGCAGTACAAGGGGAACAGGCGGGGCACTTTAGAGCAGTGGAAGGACTAACAGGTTAAAGAATTTGAAGATTTAAGTACCAAAATTTGACTAATCTCAATCAGTTGGGCCTACAGTTTACCATGACTAGTGACTTGGGGGGAGTGTGGCCTGGTGGTTAGGATTTGTGACTAAAGGTTGGGGGTTCGAATCCAGCTGCTGGCCATATGTTGTGTTCTTGGGCAAGACACATCACTCCAACTTGCCTCTCTACACCCAGCTACCTAGGAGAATGCCTACCCCAGTACCAGTAGAGAGTAACCTGCGATGGACTGCATCCCCTTTGCTATGGAGTATGTTGCTACGTATGGAAAACACTGATGACCCGCCACATTAAGTTTTGTTTTTGTTTTTAGGCAACAGACTGCATGGACACCTTCAACTATGAACTGGCCCAGAAGTTCCTCCAGAGGGCGCTAGAGATGGAACCGGACAACCTTCGGGTGCTGGAGGTCACCGGGAATCTGCTGGTGGAGGTCGGAGAACTGGAGAAGGCTAAACAAATATCCTTACGTCAAAACTGGAATGGCACGCCAATTTAATTTAAGGGTGGGCCGATGAATTCAATTTTTTTTTAAGCAACCCTTGAAAATGCACCTTTGTGTCCCATTTATCTTTATTTTCAAATCTTCACATTTTTTGGTTCACAATAAGAACACAAAACTTCTTAACTTAAGAGTGAGTGCCTTAAATGACATCACAGCAACAGCACCCTCAGTTGTCAGAAAAAAAGAACGGAACATCTTAAATGTTTGAAACAAGTGCCCTAGTCTTTACAAAAATTCATGTCATGAGTGCTTTAAATCACCAAACTTGGATCAGTGTGGCTTGTATTTTTTGTTGTTATTTCCTTAATTTCTGGATGCACTGTATGGGTCGAGCTATCACCCTCTCTCCCGAAGCTGGTCACTCCAAGTACCTGTACATGGGACAGTTGTTTGAAGGCGAGGAGGCTGTGCAATACTTAGTCAAGGGAATCGAGCTGATGAAGAAAGAGAAGGAGAAACAAGATAAACAGGTGAAGAATAATTGCATATAGGATCATTTGCTTATTATGTATTTTGTTCATTTCCATTAATAACACCACCCAAAATCCAAATAAGAATGTTCAAAACCAAACCTGTGAAGTTTCAGCTCAGTGGACATACATGTCCACTTTTTGAGAAAAAAAAACAATGAAAAAACATGCACAACCTTTTGAAAAAAAACACAATTCCGCCATTGAAACCCTTTTTTTTTCAATGATATTCAACTGAATGATCATTGGGAAATCACTGACATTTCTTGATTTCTTTGACAGCAATCTAGGCGGAATAATTACAGGGGATGTTTAGTACCAGTACGATCCTTAATTAATCCAAACATGCTGTTTGATAAAAATTCGTTAATTTTGGAACAACTGCAGATGATCCTATATACCTTTAACGAAATAAATCTTAAAAAGCATTTTGATAGCGATATATTTTGTGTGTGATCTGTGAGGAAGGTTCATGTTCTTGCTCCAAAGGTAGGGCAGAATTTTAGGGATGAGGAAAAGTTGGGAGTTTATACAGCAAACAAGTCCCCCCCCCCCCAAAAAAAAAAAAAGTGGGGCGGACTCTTAATATTGTGTTGTATCACACAAAGAAATAATGACAGTTTGAGGAAAACCAATCAAATCATTTTTCCAAAAATAGTCTTATCAGGAGGAGTATTGCAGTAATGCACGGCAGAATTCTTGGATGTACTTGAAATACCCTGGGGTTTCATGTTACAGATTAAGATTTTCACCTCTTCAACATCTTCAACTATTTAAACCTATTCAAAGTTGTGTATCCTCTTCCAGCATATTTTCATGGTTGTACATGTATTATGGGATCTCAAGAAAATTGTGTTGGGGAGGGCTGGCAGAAGTAAGAAACGGGTTCATGGGCAAACAGTGAAATAAAGATGTGTTTTGTTGTGTATTAAATCGTCACTATTGTTATCGTCATAGTTGATTGACATTAAGTAGTAGGGGAGGTGGGGGAACCGGAGCAAAATGGAAAAAATCTGCGGCAAGCCTGAGCACGCCGCTCTCGATTCTAAAAATAGTTGGGGAAAAATATAGGGGAATCCCCCGATCTCAAAAAAAAAAAAAAAAAAAAAAAAAAAAAATCCTGACGCCGAGAGAGAGAGAGAGAGAGAGAGAGAAAAAAATATCTCTGACGCCGGGAGAAAAAAAAAAAAAAAAAAAAAAAAAAAAAATCCTGACGCCGAGAGAGAGAGAGAGAGAAAAAAAATATCTCTGACGCCGGGAGAAAAAAAAAAAAAAAAAAAAAAAAAAAAAAAAAAAAAATCCTGACGCCGAGAGAGAGAGAGAGAGAGAGAAAAAAAATATCTCTGACGTCGGGAGAAAAAAAAAAAAAAAAAAAAAAAAAATCCTGACGCCGGGAGAGAAAAAAAAAAAAAAAAAAAAAAAATCTGACGTCGCTAAAATGAGATGATGTCACCACCACGCGACCTTGAAAAATATGTGAGTCACCACAACGTGACCTTGAAACGTGTTGAGGCACGATAGAAATTTGGCGTAAACAACGCGACCTTGAAAAATATGTGAGTCACCACAACGTGACCTTGAAACGTGTGTGAGTCACCACAACGTGACCTTGAAACTCGAGACAAAAAAAATTAGCTCCTTACCCTGTAAAAGGTGAGGAGCTGTTTTTTAATATAAAAATGGAGAGTAATATGTTTAGACCGACGAGTATTTGAAAAATGAATAAAAAATAATATCGGTTTTTATTAAATAGATGGAATACTTTGGGACGTCACAACTTGGGGATAAGTGCGATCATCATATAATCATCGAGAATGGTTTTTTAATTTGTGAAACGTGCGGTGAAATAGTTTCACGTTATTTTGATTTTTCGGCAGAAAATGTGCAAGAAGATCGTATCAATTGGTCAACTTTAAAGAGAAACAAAAGAAAAACTGTGGAGAAACTTATTTTGTCTGTTTGTCCAGAGCAAGACTCAGAAGATGTCCAAGAAACAATCAATAAATATAACGAGCTCGTTAATTACAAAACATTGAGGGGAAATGGTTGCGTCAAACGGTCATTAATAGCGGCGTGTTATCATCACGTCGTTGGATTAGACAAAGAACGAGTTAGAGATTTATTTAAAGTGACTCAAAATCAATTTAATAAAGCACTAAAAATATACGATGACCACTACAATAAAGGCGGGGCCGAGGGCGTAGCCCTAAGAGGTGAAATAGAGGTATAACTCGGTGGTTCGCTTTCATAATGTTTATTTACCGAGAATTTGAACTTGTAAGTTTTTCGATAAGAGATTTTTTTTCTTTTGCCAGCCGTTCGTCTACCCGTTTTTTAACTTCTTTTTCAAAGTCTGTATCGTTTTTAATCTTTTGAAGCTTTGTGCTGGTCTTTGTTCTAATTTTCTGCTTAAGCTCGTTAAATTTGGCGAGCTCTCTCGTAATCAATAAGAACTCTTCGTGCGATATATCTCCGTCGTTGATGGCTTGAGACACGTATTCTTCAATCGTGTTAAGTTTGGAGTCTGCTAATATCTTAATCTGGTCGTGCTTTTTTAGCTTGGCGGATAATCGCCTAGACGCGATTCTAAGCAGAATATCTACACCAAAAGCGCCTATAAACGTTCCTTCTAGCACCAATCCAACGGGGGCTGATATAACACCCAAGAGAGCGGGAATACTGACAGCCCCCGCTATAGCCCCCAATCCTTCTAATCCTATCTCTACGTAATTAATAGTGTCGATCACTCTCTTTATTTTTTTATAACTGCGCTCTCGGTGGTCTCTCTCTTTCAAGATTAAAGATCGAATCTCTTCAATCTTTTTAAGTCTGTACACTTTTGTTTCTTCGTTACTATTTAATCGGAGTACATCTCCAGAAATATCGGGGTATAACGCCTTACCATCTACACTCATGTTTTTAATATAAAAAGATTTTAAAATTAAAAGATCTCCAACTCGATAATGATACCCTCACCCTTATTGTTGAATACCTGTCCTTTTTCACCGCTGATAGAAAATGTCAGTTTGTCGATTATACCGTTTTTAAGATTTTTGAATCCCTCGGCTCTATCAATATCGGGTTTGCGCGTAGCCACGGGTACGATTTTTAAGATGTCAGAAGGACGACCATTAAAAAAGTTTTCACTCGTACTTAATTGCGGGCAGTGAATAAACAAAAATTTAAACGGATTAACGTCGTAAGACCCCGTATACACCACTTTGGGTACCAGTCTTCCTTTGGGTAAATTGAGTAATCGAGATACTTCTCTGTTCAAGCGCAATTTGAGATTTACGTCGGTTATCACCAATGTCACCTTTTTAGATTCTCTAAATATTCGAAAACTTACCCCGGGTATAGAATTTAAAATGAAATCGAACCAATCGACGTCGTACCACCCCGGTGCTATGATGACCGAACCGGTGACTCCGAGTGGCAACGGCTCTAAATGACTCGGAGGAATAAAATCTAAATCCTCACCCGTCACGATAAGACTTCCCCTGATAATTACCCCTGCTTCCCTACTATCTCTCAACTCGCTCAATTCGCTCGCACCCATTTCTCCTTCAATAAACTTTAAAGCCAATTCCTCACCTTCAAAGATTTTTCTTTCTCTAACAAATAATATTCTTACTAAAGATTGAAGCGTATTAAGTTCTAATTCAGTTTTTGGTATTTCTGAATTCATGGCGGCTAAAATCAACCCTCGCCGTTCAGCTATAATAGCTCTTTTTCTTTTGTTTGATTCTAAAACGGATTCTAGTCTATCGTCTTCGTACGCTTTTATAAGATCGTTTATAGTTTTTTGTAAAACATTTTCATCGTTAATTAAAAAGTGGTATGGTATATCGGGTAACAATCGCTCTATAAAATCTCTATCCGGCGTTCTTATGTGTACATCTGAAAGAAACTCCGCGGGTATGAGGGGAGGTTTATCCGTGGTAAACGCGGGTCTCCCATCTATTTGCGTAAACCAATCAATCTCCGTGGCGCTGGAAATATTAAAATATCCGGCGTTAAACAACACCCTTTTTACGCGTATATATTTTTGACCGTTTAAATTATCTACGACGTCTTCTAATTTAAACGTCTGCTCATTTTGAAACAAGTGAAACGAATGCATTTATTTTAAAGTCTTTTTATATTAAAACTGAAACTAAAATAATGAGTGATTTTAAGTCGTTAAAAAAGCAGATACAATCGATAGCTGATCAGGTAACGAAACAAGTAAATCAAAATGTAGCTAAACGACAAGCTACCACCCCAGCGCATGTACTAGACAGTCCGTATCTCACTGGCGAACTCGAGATTACGGTCAACGCGTCTAACACGTTTTTAACCCCGTTTCCCGACTTAATCTCGGACTATAAAATATCTCGCCTCAATACCAACGATGCTGTACTTCGTTGGAAAATAGACCCCATGTCTTTTTATCAAAATCAGTTAAACTTTGCGATCTATTGCGCTACAACGGGCTGTGGTGTTGGAATCGATATTTTAAACTCGAACAACCGTTACGTTAAAGCCTTATTTAATTTTCATCTATACTTTACGGTGAGAAGGATATTAAACGACATGGCCGTAGCAATACCGGGAGAAGACTCGTTTGACGCTCTCAGCAACACCTATGATCGTGGAGCATTTACCAACATCTGTCGGACGTTTGCCATCGATCAAAATAAGTCTTTTAAACAGACGAGAGATCAAAAGACTTATGGCTTAGGTCGGCTTTTTCTTTGGAACGAAAAAACAAAATCATTTTTACTCTTGCCGTTAGACTATGATAAAAACACGACCACACTCGACGATTTTATCAACCCCACGGGTGATAAAAATTGGGGTTTAGACGATCCAAAAAAACACGATGCTTTTTTTAAGCATTGGAAGGGTTATCTCGAACAAGACGACATCGTCAAAATGGCTTGGTTAGATTTTATACCCGCCAAGAGTTCGTTTACCTCCGCGGGAATCATAAAGATCAACGAATCGATCAGATCTTA